AGACACACAGAAAACTTTTAACTTAAGAAAATTTAGTGTGGAGGGGGAAGGGCTCCCTCAAACTCACCTAGCTGAGGAACCGTTTACAGTTGATGGCTGCTGGAGGAGGTCACTTTTCTCCAGACATTTGACCACTGGTGGCTCCCACACTCCAGTGGGTGACCTCGTGCACATACACACTTGACCACTGGTGGCTCCCACACTCCAGTGAGTGACCTCGTGCACATACACACTTGACCACTGGTGGCTCCCACACTCCAGTGGGTAACCTCATGCACATGCACATTTGAGCAACACTAAATAGATGTAGTGGGTGAATAAATACATAAATAAATAGTTCTTGAAAAAATTGAAGGAAAAATACTTTTGTATATTATGTTTCTTCTTTTAATTCCTATGTAGATTTGGCACTATCAACACATTTTTCTTACCCTTTGTGTACAATAAGTGTTGATAATATATACTTGCAAAGCCAAACATGGTGGTTCACACCAATAATTCCACAACAGAAGGAGGTTGAGGCAGGAGGTTACCCAGGAGTTCAAGGCAAGCCTAGACTACAGAGGGAGACCCTGTCTTGTTTTTGTTTTTGTTTTTTAACAAGTCTTGTAGTAAAGTCTTATGGCAAAATGTGTAGTCCGCCGGGCGGTGGTGGCGCACGCCTTTAATCCCAGCACTCGGGAGGCAGAGCCAGGCGGATCTCTGTGAATTCGAGGCCAGCCTGGGCTACCAAGTGAGTTCCAGGAAAGGCGCAAAGCTACACAGAGAAACCCTGTCTCGAAAAACCAAAAAAAAAAAAAAAAAAAAAAAAAAAATGTGTAGTCCATTTTACCTCTTTATTCAAACTTATTAGTACTACTTTAGTTCTTAGAAGAAACTTTACTTAATAGAGGAAATCCTTTGCTGAGGGAGCAGCCTGCAATTCCTTGGTATTTAAATCATACTAAAATACCATCTTCGTATGTCATTAGCGTACCTTAAGAGCCTCAAATGTAAGTGTGTCACGTGTACCTTTTTCCCCCCCTCTCTTGCTGTGACATCACCTGGGGAAATCCAGAAGACTGGATAACCAAGAAATGACTAATCAGGAGTCTGCTGTCCATTTGAAAATGGTGGGTATGTGAGTACTTGCAGCTCCACTTGTAAACGGTGAATCTTCTCCAATTTTTCCTTCTTAACTATACAGTTGTGGGACTGGAGTTTTATACAGGGCTTTCTTCATGATGCTTGACACACAAATGATAAACATCTCAAGTACCTACTGAATTGATTCTCAAATATCTTTGAAATTATTATGCTTGAAATATAATACATTTTATAGTTCTTAGCATAAAATGATGGCTAGGTTCTGAGGAGTTTGCTGTGGCTGTTGTTTTGTTTTTACTTTTTTTGAACATGAAGTCTCGTTGTGCTTGTATGTCAGGGATGTGCGATCCTCCTGTCTCAGCCCTGCAAGGGGTAATGTTGAGATTCCATTACAATGCATTACATATGTCTTATTCCCTTCCTGTCTTTTTGCATGTGTGGTTTGGATTTTGTTCTTTGAGACTGGGTTTCTGTGACTCAGGCTACTTGAAGTCACTTTGTCGCTAGTGATGACCTTGAACCCCTGGTTCTGCTTCCAGCTCCTGAGGCAGAGATTACAGGCATGCTCTACCTCAGCTGGATTCCCATTCTTTTCTGTATTCCTTGGCACTCTCCTGTGTAAGCCATGCAGAATGAAATATTCTAAGTGTAGTTTAAAGTGACAGACATTCAGGACCAGTGAAAAGGCTCAGTGGGTAAGGGCTTTTGCCACCAAGCATGACAATGTAAGGAAAGAACTGACTCCTAAAAGTTGTCCTCTAACACACACACACACACACACACACACACACACACACACACACACACACACACACACACACACACGACTATATGGAGAGATGGGTGGATGGATGGATGGATGGATGGATGGATAGGTGGGTGGGTGGGTGGATGGGGAGTCAGGCAGGGCAGCCAAGCAGACATGAAAAAGAATTTAAGAAAAAGAAAGGGGCCAAAATGGCTGGGGATGTAGGTCAGTTGGAAGCTCTCAGTTCAGTCCCCGACACCACATAAAACCCAAATGTGGTCTACACTTGTAGTCCCATTACTGGCCAGGTGGAAACAGGTAGATCAGGAATTCAAGGTCACCTTGGCTACATAATTAGTTTGAAGCCAACTGGGCTAGTGAGAGTGTTATTTAAAAAAAATGATTGTGTAAATAAATGGTGTGAAACTACCAACTTTATGCATAACAAAAGGTGTGTGAAGTTCCTGAAAATTCCCCGGGAAGCAGCTGTCTTCTGCATAGTGGTACTGAGGCTATGGAAGGAACATATGTCAGTACATTGCGGAAAAAATACCATCAGCTTTCCACAGTCCCCATGATAAAACTCCTTGGAGCCAGTTGTGGTAGCATGTGCCTGTTGGTAATCCCAGTTTCCTGGAGGCTGACCCAAGAGGGTTGCCACAAATTCAACGCCAGCTTACACTACACAGGGTGTGCCAGGCCAGCCAGGGCTCGACAGGAAAACCTTGTCTTTAAAAGAATAATCAAGAGAAAATAAATCAGTAAATAAATGAGTAAATACTTTTATTCTTTAACTAGTACATAATACCACAAAATGTACATTTTAATGAACCCTGAAACGTTTGATTCAATAGACATCACTTAAACTGTGTGTTTCAGCCGGAGTGGGGTGTATCTATAGATGACTTTGTCTGCTTGTGTTTCTGCCTTTCTTCTTTTGCTGGAATTGAACCCAGGGTTTTGTAGATGTTAGGTTAGGACTCCACCCATGAGCTGCAGCCTCTGTATTTCTCCCACGTGCATCGTCCACCCCTGTCTGTTCTCGAAAGTGTAGTTTAAAGTGACAGACATTCAGGACCAGTGAAAAGGCTCAGTGGGTAAGGGCTTTTGCCACCAAGCATGACAATGTAAGGAAAGAACTGACTCCTAAAAGTTGTCCTCTAACACACACACACACACACACACACACACACACACACACACACACACACGACTATATGGAGAGATGGATGGATGGATGGATGGATGGATGGATGGATGGATGGATGGATGGAAAGGCTGCCAGTGTTTTTGTTGTAACCAGTCCATTCCTCCAGTCACTTGAGTGCTCCCTGATTGCCTTCGTGAAATGAATGGTTGTTTATCCTCACCAGCAAGGATGATGCCCAGCCATTGCTTCTCTTTGATGTGTGATGGTTAAGAAAAAAAAAGTTCTAAAGCAATTTGAGTTTTCAATTTGCTTGTTACTGAAAATAAATAAGAGGCTAGCAATTATAATTGATGATTTTAAAAAAAGAAAAACGTTTTATAATATACCAAATGTAAAATGTAGGTGAAGACCTGATTAGAATCAGGGTGGTTGATGGGCGCCACCAAGTGGTCTTAGTTAATATTTTTTTGTTTGGTTGGTTTTGAAACAAGAGTTTCTCTGTGTAGCCCTGACTGCCCTGGAACTTGGTCTGTAGACCAGGTTAGCCTTGAAGTCAGAGATCCAACTGTCTCTGCCTCCCAAGTGCTGTGGGATTAAAGATATGCACCACTGCTATTCTTGTTAGCTGAACCTTGAGAGTATGACTTGCTTGATTTATATTGAGTATAAAATAAAATGCTCCATTTTCCTGGTGAAAATATTGTGGCAACATAATCCTTTGTTTACTCTCACTGTAATGAGTTACGGTGTTTTTAAAGATTTTTTTAAAAATTAATTATGTGTATGTAGGAGAAGGAGTACTTGCATGTAAGTACAGGTACAGAGGCCAGAAGAGGGTTTAAATCCCTTGAAGGAGGAGTTACAAACAGTTGTGAGCCATCCAGCATGGCTGCTGGGAACACAGAACCTCTGCAAAAGCAGCAAGCGTTCTTAACCACTGAGTCATTTCACCAGCTCCAATGGGTTTAGTTACTGAATCAAGTATTTGCTCTTCTCAGCTAAGGATTTTGTAAGGGAGCTGCAGAAGGGGTCCTCCAAAGCAGCAGTGGTCGTTCATACTCAGCAGGAAAGTATCAGTCCACATCGCATCTAGTCTCTAGCGGGAGTGTGTTTTGAAAAGTAGACACGCAGTATTTATTATGTAAATGTCAGGGTGAATTGGGGCTTGAGGGTGTGGTCTTTGTGTGCTCGTACATGTGGAGGCCAGAGATCACCATTGGATACCATCCTCTATTGCTCCTCACTGAATCTGAAGCTACTGGACTTGCTAATGAACATGCCCAGGGATCCCAGCTCATAAAGTGCAGCAAGTACGTTATGGACTTGGCCATCTCCCCCTCCTTAAGACGAATGAGGTCTCATTAAGTTAAAAGTGTCAAGATCTGGTACATTGCAGGTGATCCTATCAGTGTTTTAAGATATGGCTTTTAAAGTGTGTAACGGCTATAGATGGAGTAGAACTCATGCATTTGAGAATCCCTGGACTTGATTCCCAGTATCTTTCCTTCCCCTACAAAAAAGGGAGGGGGAGGAGCCAAATTAAATGTAGGTATTTCATGAACAGTATTTGAATGTATTTCCCTTTTCCTTTCATGTATACCTCTGTTGGTGTCTTCCAGTCTTTGGGAAATGTTCTGGCCTTTGGGGAGGAGGGGCTTATTGTTGCTTCTTGTTGTTGTTGTTGTTTTTCAAGACAGGGTTTCTCTGTGTAGCCCTGGCTGTCCTGAAACTCACTCTGTAGACCAGGCTGGCCTTGAGCTCACAGAGATCCGCCTGGCTCTGCTGGGATTAAGGGTGTGCGCCACCACCACCTGGCTCATAAGTTTATCTTAATTTTCTACATGGAAACTAGTTATGTGTTTTAATTTTTGTGTGTGTATATAATAATGGTAGTTTTATATGGTGACTTTTTTAAAATAATGTCTCAGCATTTTTATACTTTTTAATACAAGCTTCTTGATAGCAAATGAATTGGGAAAAGTGAGTGAAAGTAGTTCATGTCTATTCACTTTTTAGATGCCAGAATTCCAGAAAAGCTCAGTTCGCATCAAGAACCCTACAAGAGTAGAAGAAATTATCTGTGGTCTCATTAAAGGAGGAGCTGCCAAACTCCAGGTGACTTACACTTTTGAAACCATTGAAGTGGATTTTCGATGACAGCTGCTTGGGGGGGTGGGGGAGTCGGCTCTCTCCAGTGGAAGTTGTGGGTCTGTCCGCCACACTCCAGGGCAGCCCCCACCCAGAAGTAGTTGGCAACATAAAACACACTCCATATTCAGGTTGGGTTGGATATTTTAGTTTCTTCGTTTTTATTTTTGTTTGTTGAGAGAGCACAAAAGCATGGAGGTGGGAAAGATCTAGGAAGAGCTGAGGAAGTGGAAGATTAAGATCAAAATATATTGTATAATTTTAAGCCACATTGAAAAACTGAAGCAGACTCATCTGTCTGGGGTTAGTGATGGAGTGTGACAGGGCTTGGATAAAGCCATGGGTCCAGTCCCTAGCAACTGCAGGGGGAAAAGCAAATTTATTAATCTCCTGTTTTGACAAAACCTTAGTAATGGGATTTTTGTTGTTGTTGTTTTGCCTATACTTTGGGAGTGTAAAATCTAAAAACTTATCTAGAGTTGGTCTAAATACATGGAATACTCTATTTGAAAACAAAAAAAGAATGCCTTGAGACAGAGAGAGCACATGAGCCATGATCAAACGTGGTGGAGATTAAACCCAAGACCTGTGGAGCTAAGCACTAATTCTCCCATTGAGTTTGGCCAGACCTCTCACTTGGGCCTTTTTTAACATTAAGTTCTAAGGTGACTAGTACTATACACAGATGTTAAACCATTTCAGGAATCTATGTAAAAGAGTATAGTTTCAAGTTATTCTATATTTTAATTACCTGAGTCATTGTCAAATTAAAATTAACTTTATGAGGGCATAGTTGAGTTTAACACGTTTCTCTCTCACTGTTGGTCTGGGAGTTTTATGGTTTGATGTTGTTTGCTGCATTTTGTTTGCTTCCAACTCCTAAGATCATGGGCATGTATCATCCCAGGAAGGAGAGAATTACAGACTAAATGTGAAGGAGGGGGCTGGAGAGAGAGATTGCTCAGTGGTTAAGAGCACTGACTGCTCTTCCAAAGGACCTGGGTTTAATTCCCAGCACCCATATGGCAGCTCACAACTGTCAGTAACTCCAGTTGCAGGGGATTGGACACCATCATAAAGACATACATGCAGGCAAAACACTGGTCTACACAAAATATAAATAAATAAATAAGTGAATAAATAAATAAATAAATGTATGTGAAGGAACTGGAGAAGTTACTAGTCCAACTTCATTATAAGAATTCCTTTGCTATTTGAACTGCCCAACAGCTAATTTATTACCTCTTTGAGTGATATCCAGAGCAGGGCAGCAGAAACAAAGGAGACCCCATCTCAGCAAGGGGGAAGGCGAGAACCGACTCTTGGAAGATGTCCTCTATACACACACACCCCAGAGCATGGTGTGCGCGCGCGCACACACACACACACAATTTATAATTGAAAAATATAATCATTTAACTCAGTGTGTTGCAGGGTTAGATGAGGAACTTCCCAGGGACCTCTGTGGAAAGGCTCCAGGATGTGTATTTGCTTAGCATAGTGAGTTTAGGATTGTGGTGAACTTACTTACATTTTGCCTTCTTTTTCTCACAGATAATAACAGACTTTGATATGACACTAAGTAGGTTTTCCTACAATGGAAAAAGATGCCCAACATGTCATAGTAAGTGTGGTACTCTTAAGTAAATGAATGTAATGGTAAATACTTATCAATGAGATGACTGTGAGTTTTTTGTTTTTCCTTTTCTCTTAATGTTAAAAGTGAAGAAACTTGTTTTTTCTTGTTAGGTTTTGGGGAATGGTTCTCATTCATCTTAGGTGAATGGCTATTTTTATATATGCTTTTGGAAGTAAAGGGAATGGATGAAGACTTCAAAATATTTCTCACTATATAGTCTATTTATTACCCAAGAAATAACTGAAAAGGTTTTAAATTTTGGGATAACCTAAAAAGTAACATTTACCAAATGTTGTTTATTAGTTAGGTTTCTATTGATATTGTAAACACTGTGACCAAAAGCAACTTGGGGAGGAAAGGGTTATTTTGCTTGCAGTTGCAGTCCAGTGTAGAGGGACCCTAAGACAGGCTCAGGCAGAGACTCTGGGGGAGTGTTGTTTACCAGCTTGCTCTCCTGATGCCTGCTCAGCCTACACAGCCGGGGTGGAACCACCCATGGTGAGCTGGCCCTTTCCACATCAACTGTCAATCAAGAAATGCCACAGGCTTGCCCACAGGCCAGTCTGATGGAGGCATTTTCTCAGCTGTGGTTCCTTCTTCCCAGGTGACCCAGGCTTGTGTTGGAGTTGACAGAAAACCAGCAGGCACACTCTGGGTTAAGGGTGTAGCTCGGTAGTAGGGCACTGGCCAGGCATGTATAAAGCTTTGATATTGATTTCTGACAACACACAATGAAATGATTTATAACCCTGACAACAGCTTGGAAGGCAACTGAAAACAATTTAACACTGGAAAAATTGTACAACCGTTGTGAGTGGTATCTATGGAGCTTTAATTATCTGAAAAATACAGAGCATAACATTAAATGAAAAGAACTCAAAACGGTAGATTTGACTTGATCTTAACTTACCTAATTTGTTAATAGTAAATAAAACTTTGAGAGGAAATATTTTACATGAAGTATTATCCTTTTAAAAATGGTATCTTTCGTGGCTGGGGATGTATCTCAGTAGAGTGGTGGTGGTCTTACATGCATGAGCCCTAGAGGTGGCTCCAGGAGACCTTATGTCCTAGTTGGGTTCCTACTGTTTCAGTAAAACAGACCAGAACCAACGTGAGGAAAGAACAGGTATATTTGGCTTTCAGGTTACAGCCCATCACCAAGGGAAATCACGCCAGGAACTGAAGCAGAAACCATGGAGGCGTACTGGCTTGCTCAGCTTGCTTTCTTATACTACCCAAGACCACCTTGTCACGGGTAGAATCACCCACAATGGACTGGGCCTTTTCACATCAATTATTAATCAAGCAAAAGGCCTCACAGACATGGCCACAGGCCAGTCCGTTGGATGCAATTCCTCAATTGATGTTCCCTCTTCCCAGGTGACTTTAGTTTGTGTCATGTTAAATCTAACCAGGACACCCTGGCTCAAAATAGAAAGAAAAGGAAAATGATATACGCCAAGATGTATTTGCTGCTTCTGTGTATTAAAAAGGAAGATGAAAGTGGAAACATATAATAGATTGTTTGAAGGTCTTGAACTGTCTAGCTCAGTGCTATATGTGAAGAATTACTAAATCTCAAATTTTGAAACCATTACCTCCTGTAGCAATGCCATTTGAATTACACATCGAGGCCAAAAAATTGCAGTAACCACAGTAATTGACTTGGGTTTTAAAAATAAAAGAAGCAAGTTATCTTTATTAGTGGTAGTATCAACCAGAGTATTTTCTTTAATGCCTATGCCATTCTCTCTCTCCCCCCTTTCTCCCCCCCCCCCCCCCCCCCGCCCCCAGATATCATTGACAACTGTAAACTTGTTACAGACGAATGTCGTAGAAAGGTAAGTATCAAGTCATTTCAAATGCATAGTTAATCCTTCATTGTCTCAGCTGATTAGTTTTACTCAGACAGGAATGAATGTCAAAAGCTAGGCATGATGGCATGTAGCATAAATCTTAAAGAGTCTTATTAATAAAAACAAACCTGGAGCCAGGTATTGGGGTGAAGCTGGAAGATCAGAGAAACAGAGCAAGCCACAGCTTCCTCACCTCACCAGTTCCTTAGCTGATCCTGTTTCCTCAGACTGGAAGCCTCATACATCTCAGCTGAACTGCTGCTCAAAAGCCTAAAAGCTTAACTAGGCTAGTTCCTGGTTTTCATGCCTTATATACCTTTCTGCTTCCTGCCATCACTTCCTGGGATTAAAGGCGTGAGTCACCATGCCTGGCTATTTCCAGTGTGGCTTTGAACTCACAGAGATCTGGATGGATCTCTGCCTCCCAAGTGATAGGATTAAAGGTGTGTGTGCCACCATTTTCTGGCCTCTATGTCTATCTAGTGGCTGTTCTGTTCTCTGACCCCAGATCCTCCACCCACCCCCATCCCCGGAAAGAACTGAAATGAATGCTAAGTGCTTATAGTCTTATCTGGCACATAGTAAGCATTCAATAAATATGAAATTTATTGTATGAATTCTATCCTGGCTTTTGGTTTTTTTTTTTTTCTTCAAGACAGGATGTCTCATTTAGCTTTGAACTCACTGGCTAGCTGAGGAAAACGTGGAGCTCCTGTTCCTTGACCTCCCAAGTGCTAGGATTACAGGGTGTGCAACCATCACCAGCACAACCAGTGTTAGAAGTTGTTATTAGAACACTCAGGGTCCTTACATTAGCTGGGAAGGCAAAGGTGCTTTAGTCTCGGGCTAATTTGCCCCCTTAAACTGATCAGGGTGTTCCTGGGGTGCCTGCCTCCATCTTAACAGGGCAACTCAGGGTGCCTATCAAAGTTAATTGCTTTGATTTCAGGACTAAACTTGTTGTCAGGTCTGGTGGTTCAGGCCTGTAATCCTGCTACTTAGGCTGAGGCAGAAGGATTTGAAGGTTCAAAGCCGCCTGGGTAACTTAGCACAGAACCTGGCCCAAAATAGAAAGTAAAGCTAGGCCTGGGCCTTGGCTCATGGCTCAGTGGCAGGTCGGTGAGATCACCTGCCGAGCATGTTCGATGCCTTACATTCAGTCCATAGCACCAGCAGAGCCGAGCCTGAAAATAAACCTCCCATTTTTTCTAATGACATTCTGAATTGCTGACTTGGAAGTAAAGTGGTTCCTGCGGCTGTATCTAATTATATGTAACCGAAGAGCAAGCCATCTCGTTTTAATCTTTACTGAAAAGTAGCTTAAAGGCCCCCATTGTCTTTTATTGTTTGCATTGTTTGCTGTAATAGTCAGGTAAGTGACAGAACTCTGTAATCCTCACAACTAAGTTACTGTTTCCTCCTAGTTACTGCAGCTCAAGGAGCGGTATTACGCTATTGAAGTTGATCCTGACCTCACTGTGGAAGAGAAGTTCCCTTACATGGTAGAGTGGTGAGTGCCTCTGGGGGCAGGGGGGGGGGGGGGGCACTGCAGTGCGGGGAATGCAGCGGCCCAGTTAAGAGTCGTGGCCCGTTCTCCTCTTTAATGTGTACAGCTAGATACACAGACAATGAATACAGAAAACCTAGAGTCACCACGGTGAATTAACAGCTTGTGATTGGTCTCAGGATGGCATGCAGTGAGAGTAAATAAAAGGCCTGGCATGTAAGTCTTAAAGCCAGGTCTTTAAAGCTTCTTAGACAAGACATGATCTAAGAACAAAGAAAGAGAAGTAGGGTTCACGCCACGCCAAGCCACGCCATGCCCGCCCCAACCTGGAGCCCTGGCCTGTGGTGTTGACTGTGTTCATCACACTGCAGCATCCGAGTAGACTTCAGAGAGAGCTTTGTGTGGAGCTCCCAGACAAGATAAACCTTGGCAAATGTAGAGGTGCAGAGGAGTCCACCCGTTCCTCTGAGAAGCATTCCCAGAAGTGGAAAGTGCTTTGGTTTGAGCAGCAACATCTGCTTTGAAATTTTAAGAGGCCAGGAATATTCCCAGTAGCTGATGGGGAGTGTGGACAGTTCACCTGTGTGTGGTAGTAAATGCTGGGGAGAGACTTTTCTCTGCCTACCTGCAGGGTCAAAACTGGAGCTGGTTTTGGAAAAATTAAAGAAATTGATTTCTATGTGGAGAAAGGACTGTTTGCAGTTAGGTTTATCTGGGGATGGAATAAGCTCCAGTTCCTGAGACAGCGTAGTGTGTGCACCTGTAATCCCAGAACTTAAAGCTGAGGCAGAGGGATTGTTTCCAGGTTGCATAGGGAGTATAGGCCCGTGGGGGCTTTCCAGCATTAAGCTGTCTCACAGGAGGAAAGAAGGGGAAGCTGGCGAAAGGAAGGAATTACTTTAAAATTCCGGGGATGCTCAGTTATTAGTTGAAGGTTCCTGTTCTTCGTGAGACAAGGGAGTTTCATTGTAAGGAGTTGAGTTCTAACGGCACATTATCCTGTGCTGCTGTGGCTATCTGTGTAAGAGTGAAGCAGGCCAGCCTATGCGGAACACTTTCCTCCCAAGGAATTCTCTCTTACACTAGGCAGCGTTCCAGTACTTAGAGATTTCAGGAAAATGTAAACTGCAAGCAGATGAAAGGAGAAAGGAGCTTGCCAGCCCAGGTTAGATTGACTCTTACCTGTGGACTGAGGAAAGCTTGCAGCTGTCTCCAGGTTTGCCTTACTGACATAGTTAAGAGGAGCCTGGGTTTGTGAGATCTGTGACATATGGGGAAAACACCATCACCCATTTCAAGCTCCTTAGTCTCAGAGTTAAGTCCACACAGTGAGGACCAGCAGCCATGATCTCACACTCAGGAATGCTTTGCAGTAAAGGTAATAGTTTCAATATTTTAACTGGGCTCTCTCCCCTCCTTTGGTCATTAACTCCAGGTATACTAAATCACATGGTTTGCTTGTTGAACAAGGCATACCAAAAGCCAAACTTAAAGAGATTGTGGCAGACTCTGATGTCATGCTCAAGTAAGTCTCCTGGGTTTTGTTTTTATTGTCTCCAGAATTAACTACTATTGTATATATTCAATTATGTGTTTTTAATTAAGATAAGCAATCGTTGCCAGGCGGTGGTGGCGCACGCCTTTAATCCCAGCACTCGGGAGGCAGAGCCAGGCGGATCTCTGTGAGTTCGAGGCCAGCCTGGGCTACCAAGTGAGTTCCAGGAAAGGCGCAAAGCTACACAGAGAAACCCTGTCTCGAAAAACCAAAAAAAAAAAAAAAAAAAGATAAGCAATCGCTTTATTCCATAAAATAATTAAAACACATTATTTCTTAAATCAGTGTAAGAAAATGAATAGTGGTGAGATAAAAACATTGTAGGTTAGGGCTGTTAGGATTGGGATGTAGCTCAGTTAGCAGAGTGCTTGTGTTGTGTGCCCACAGCTCTTTGCTTGGTCCAAGCACTGAATAAAACTGGCATGGTAAGGGGCTGGAGAGATGGCTCAGCTGATTAGAGCACTGGCTGCTCTTCCAGAGGACCAGGGTTCGATTCCAGCACCCACATGGCAGCTCACAGCCATCTATAACCCCAGTTCCAGGGGCCCCAACACCCTTTTCTGCCCTTCATGGACACCAGGAATGCACTTGATATACAGAGATACATGCAGGCAAAACACCTATACACATAAAATAAGATTGGAAATCATTTTTTTAAAACCTGGGCATGGCGGCTCATGCCTATAGTCCCAGCACTTAGGAAACAGAGGCAGGAAGATCCTGAATGAAATAGCAAGTCTGAGGCCAGCTTTGGATACATGAAACCCTATCTTTAAAAAAAAAGTTTTTTCATTTAGATTTGGTAAGAGCATTGGAAGATTTAAGTAATGATTTGTATTTCCGTATTCCCTTTCTCCAAAATTAAAAAAAAAAATTAAGAATAATGTAGAGACTTATGTAACTATTATCGTTTTTCAAGTTCTTTAGGAAATCAGTTTTGAAAGATCTGAAATTTAAAGGAAATATTTATAAGCTAGAAAGGTTTCAACTAAGAATTGTTTCTAAGGTTACATGGATCTACCTTCGGAGTTCTCATGCTTTGAAAACTTTACAGGGAAGGGAACTTTTTTAGTTTATAGGTAAAGTACTTGCGAGGCTTGGCATGGTGTCAAAACCTGCGATTATAATATTTAAGAGGCAGAGGTGAAGGAATCACAACCAGCTGAAGGCCAACTTGGTCTGCTCAGCAAGTACTGCACAACACACACACACAGTATTTGTAATGTGTAGGGTATAACTGTGAAAATCATCACACTTACTTTCAGTACTTTTTAACCAACCTTAAGGTTTTCTACTTGTTTGGCAAATACGGTGATGTTGTTTTACTTCCCTCTGTGCTGGGATTGAACCTGGGGCCTCCCACATTGGGCAGTCACTCTCTCACTAAACTACCCCCAATCCCTTCTCCTCTGGGATGATAAAGCGATTATGTTTCAAGAAGAAAAGATTGAAATGTAAGAACAATTGAATGGTTCACTCATAAGTACCAAGATTGAACCTGTAGAGAGTGAAAAGGAAAGAGTAGATTTTAAGGTTTTACAAACAAGAATGAGATTATTTCATTTTGGGGAAAATGGATAGAATTGAAGATAACCATGTTAAGAGAAATAAGCCAGGCTCAGACAGACAAATACCACACCTTTTCTCTCATATTCAGGGTGTGACCTTAAGTATAAATATGTATTTACATTGAAACCTACGTTTGATATGAACATAGAGGTATGGGGAAGAAGAGGTATAAATGGAGGAGAGGGGAAAAACAGGACAGTAAGAGGGGAGGGATAAAACACTGTAGACTTGCTTTCATCTGAATTTGACTGTATGTGTTACATGAGTGGATGAACTATTTGGTGAAGGGAAGCGGGTCATCCAGAGAAGGAGGGATGGTGGGGCTAAACAGTCTTGGAAAGGAGCCATGACGGGTGAAAGAGCACAGCTAGGCTTGCTGCTCTGCTCTTGTGGAGGTAGGAAGAGCAGCAGGGCCTCAGGCAGGTGGCCTTCGAGCTCACCCTAGGGACCTTTTCAGGTTTGACCCCTTGCCTTTAAATGGTGTAAATTGTAGGCTTTTATCCATGCTTGCTGTGAGTCTAAAACCATCTAACTTGTACTGTTAGAACTAATAGTAGGGTAAAGAGTCAACTGTTGACTTGGTCTTTGTTTTCAAATGAGAATATGATTTGTAGAAATAGGTAGAAATATTTTGCTTTATTATCTTCTCTGTGTGTGTGTGTGTGTGTGTGAGAGAGAGAGAGAGAGAGAGAGAGAGAGAGAGAGAGAGAGAGAGAGAGAGAGAGATCTTGCTCATTAACACTCTGCCTCCTCTCACAGGGAAGGATATGAGAATTTCTTTGGTAAACTTCAACAGCACGGCATCCCTGTGTTCATATTTTCGGCTGGTATCGGTGACGTGCTTGAAGAAGTTATACGTCAAGCTGGAGTTTATCATTCAAATGTCAAAGTAGTATCCAACTTCATGGATTTTGATGAAAATGTAAGAATATGAACTCATTCCTTAAGGCTGCTCTCCAATCTGAAGTATTTTAGTCATGTAAATTCACATGTTCTTTATTACTATCAAGTAGATGGTCGTTAAATTAGATGATGCCGACAGACTATTAATGGGATTCATTCATTTGCTGCCTCAGTGTTGTATGTGTGTTTTATGCCGTCCTTAAAGTCTTATTCATAAGTTAATATTAAAATTCACAAAACTTGTGTGACAGTAGTTTAACTGTGCTGCAACCCTGAAGACTACATCTTAAGTGGGAAAAAGTGAATCATACTGGCATTTTCTGAATGAGTTTACTATAAAATGTTGTGGGCATGTTGGAGAATGATGCAACCCCAGCATTCAGAAGGCTGAGGGTCGAGTCATAAGCTCAAAGTCTGGGCTACATAGCCTCAAACAAAATAAAATAAAAACCCAAAACAGTAAAAAACATAAAATAGAATCCTTTGGCTAGGAACAAAATGCAAAGTAAAAGTTGAATTCGTGATTAGCTGAGTGTTGCCATTTAAAGTAGAGAATGTGCTGTTTTTTGGAGCCCGTCCTACCTGTCATGTAATGGACTTCTGTGTTTTGAAATCAAGTCAAAGACCAATTTAAAGATATGATAAATAGTGGCATCTGTTTAGAATCATAAAATGTAAAAGTTCTAACAAGTAGAATATGTAAAACCCATTATTTCAACCCAGAGAGATGGCTCAGTACTCAAAAGGTGCTTCCCACCAAGCCTGACAACTGATTTCAATCCCCAGCTGCACAGGGCAGGAGGGGCCAGCTCCTACAAGTCGTCCTTTACCCTCCAAATACTCACTGCCACGTGTACCTACATACTTATACATACCATAATAAGTACGATGAAGGTTTTCTTAAGCTGTTTTAAATTTTTCATAGGGAGTGTTGAAAGGATTCAAAGGAGAGCTAATTCATGTGTTCAACAAGCACGATGGTGCCCTGAAGAGTACAGACTATTTCAGCCAGCTGAAAGACAACAGCAACATCATTCTGCTGGGGGACTCCCAGGGAGACTTGAGGATGGCAGATGGCGTAGCCAACGTTGAACACATTCTGAAAATTGGATATCTGAATGACAGAGTGAGTGTGCAGTGCTGCAGTTGAATTTTCTTTTTAAAAACTTAAGATGAAACATTATAGTTAGTTGCCAAAGGCATGTGAGAAAGTTATTTTACTGCCCTCCTTTGGCAGTGAGTAGAGGAGCTATGAAGCACAGACCTGTGTGATACGTGAAGGTCACATTCTTAGAGTGGCAGTGGGCAGCACTCCCTAGACATGAGTATCAAAAATGTCTCCGTGCGTTGCCAAATGTTCTAGTACAAAGTTCCCAAAGTTGGAATCACTGGAGTAAAAAGAAACTATTTAGGGAGAAAATAGTACCCGTTGAAAACTTCCTGCCCGGAGTCAAGTCTGAGAGTAAGCTAGCCACGGTGGTGCAGGCCTGTCGTCCCAGCGATCAGGGGGCTGAGGCAGGACCACTCAAAGCTGAAGGCCAGGGTGAGCCTATATAGATAGCAAGACCCTGCCTCAAAAAATTCAAATCTTCATCAGAAACAAAATGATTTCCGTTATACAGAATTTGAGAATGTTTGTATTTCAAAACTTTCTTGAAATTAGATTTGTATTCTACAGATCTAACACTATGGGGTTAAAACTGAAATTATTTGCCTTTCTCTGCATGTTAATTTTATTTCTGTTCTTCTGTTGATTAGGTAGATGAGCTTTTAGAAAAATACATGGACTCTTACGATATTGTTTTAGTAAAAGAAGAATCACTGGAGGTCGTCAACTCGATTTTACAAAAGACACTATAAACAAACCATTTGTGAGAGGACGTCTCCCACGGGTGCAGCTGAAACCAGCACTGGCCAGCTTGAGGAAAGACTCTTATTTATAACACATCCCTGCTCTTGGCCTTCTCCCGTCCCTCCCGATGGGAGCCGCCTTCTCTGCAGATGGGTTGAACCTATAAACTGCAGCCCCTTCTTCCCGCCTCCATCATGATACTCACCAGATTTTTTAAAGCAGTTAAAAATGATCTTAAGGCAAAAATTAGAAAATTAACTTCCTTTTCCAAAGTGGATTTTGTAGTTTGGTGTTCTGCAGTTTCTGGGCACTTTACCAGGTGAGTGTGGAGGCTCAGAGGCCACTGTCTTGGTTGGTTGATGGTGTCTCTGATTTTAACCACTGCCAACTTTGTACTTTGGGTGGAGTGTGATGAGACCATCTCCTGAAATTGTGTTTTCTTTGGTTCTTTTGTCTGGAAAAATATTTGCCAGGGAAGTCCGGCACTTAGTATGTGAAAACTGTTGGTGTCTGTATCACTGACATTACAGATATTCTGTGTGAAACACTGAAAATAAACCTGAGATGGAAAGCTTTTTTAAATTCTGATGTTGACCATATTCAGCCCGTCATGGTGGCCTATGCCTGTAACCCTAGCACCTGGGAAATAGAGGTCGGTCGCAAGTCAGACCAGCCTCAGCTCCATGAGACAGAGGAACAGGAACAAAAACATCTATTCGGCAAATATTTGTATCTGTTGAGCACTGTCGTGTTTTTTCTTCTCAGTTCCTTTCTTCATTCCTAATCTCTGTCATAGTGGATATTTACATTACTCCTACTTTCAAAATATGTAAGCAAGCCTAAGCACAAAAAAATATTGCTGGAAAAATTTAATTTGTCCTTCAAAAATACTGAGGACCATAAAAATTCTTTTTTTTTGTTTTGTTTTGTTTTGTTTTTCAAGACAGGGTTTCTCTGTATAGCTTTCCTGGAATTCACCTTGGAGACCAGTCTGGCCTCGAACTCACAGAGATCCACCTGCCTCTGCCTCCTGAGTGCTGGGATTAAAGGTGTGCACCACCACTGCCCGGCGAAAATTCTTTTCTTTTATTGAACACAAGAGAAGAGTTCCTTGTCGGAGTTTCAGAAACCAAGTGTAGCTGAATATATTAGTTACTTTTCTTTTTTTTTTTTTTTTTTTTTTGGTTTTTCGAGACAGGGTTTCTCTGTGTAGCTTTGCGCCTTTCCTGGAACTCACTTGGTAGCCCAGGCTGGCCTCGAACTCACAGAGATCCGCCTGGCTCTGCCTCCCGAGTGCTGGGATTAAAGGCGTGCGCCACCACCGCCCGGCTATTAGTTACTTTTCTATCGCTGTGATGAAACACCGCAGCCAAGTCCACTTAGAGAAGAGATGACAGGTTTGGCTTTTACAGTTCCGGGAGAGAGGCCTCAGATGGTGAAGCAGAGGCAGGCGGAAAGCAGAGGGAACAGACCAGCAATGCTGAAAGTCTCCCCAAGTGCCATACTACCTCCAAGGCCACACCTCCTAAACCTCCCCAAACAGCAGTACCATCTGGGGACCAAGTATTCAAATGCCCAGTACATCTCATCAGACATCACACGGGTCCCTTGGGGACTAGGTAATGCAAAGTGAGGGCCTTCTCCAGGCTCCGTCCCAGAGGGTTTAGTTCCCACTGTGATACATTGGATCCTGACTATAACATTTGAACCTCAGCTCCTGAGGGCAACTAAGTGATTTGCTTACAGTCACCAGGTATGATCTGATTGGTCTGGCCATTCATTGTGAAGAGCAGTCTCTAGTCCAGTGAGATGGGACAGAAAGGCAAGATTAAATGATAGAAAACCTCTTATCCTTATCCTCCATCGGTGTTTTTAATTTTCTAATAAACAATATATGAAAGAGCAAAAGTATTTAATATGAAGTACTTCCAAATAAACTCAAGAGTAAATGGTAAGCCTGACGTGGTGGCAAACATGGGCAGTCCCAGCAGCTTGGAAGGCTGAGCCCACACAAGCACTTGAACCTACCAAGTTCAAGACCAGCCTGGGCAACATAGCAAGATCCCATATCAAATAAAAAATTTCTAAATGTAAACCTATGGGCTCCAAGTATTATTCAGCTTTAACATTTTTAATATTTACAAGGCCCTTACTTCAATCCCCACAACCACATTTTTTAAAGTAAAATTGTAGATAATATAAGCATATCAGGACTTCTCGGAAGGCTTTTCACATATAATCAATAATCTAATGATAACACTTTGCTCCTGTATTATGGTCAAGGCCTCTCGCCAGGTGCTGCACAGCTCGGTTCTAGAAACCTGACTGGGGTGAAGAAAGAACTGTGAGAGGACAGACACACATACAGGAAAGCTGGGGTCAAGTGGACTGTACTCACTCTGCTGGAGCGGCACCTACTACTAAGCAACAACTCAGCTGTTTCTCTGTACCGCACAGGGAAGAGGAACTAGCGAGTCTCAGTAGGAGGTGTCTATAGGGGAGCAGTCTCTGGCTGTAAACATCCAAGGGGAGGAAGATGCAGTTGATGCTCTAAACTGTCAGTTTGCACTCCAACCAGAGAAGACTTTACCAGTTCCCATTGGTCTGGGGCATTGGGGTCCTTGTCAATAATAGACATTCACTCAGGACTTCATCCGCTCCTTCCACTTCATTTGGAGTTTTCCTCCACTCCCCACAGCTTCTCCTACTGGCTGTTTACAAAGGGCTTTATCATATGTTCCCATAAATAACATACATTGCCTGTAAAGAATACTGAAGTTAATGAGGCAGACATGGGAATGGATACATACAATGTGTGCTCAGAGCCTGCGAGAGGAGGAACCTAAGTTTGAGGTCAGCTTAGGCTACACAATAACTTTGTGTCAAAAAAGGAAGATAAGATCTACATTCTTTTTTTCTTAAGTGCTAGGGATCAAACCCAGGGTTTTTGCACGGGATAGGAAAGTACTCTATCACTGGAACATTCTGATCCCGAGATCTGCATTCTAAGCAGGGTGCAGCCCCCGCTTAGTCAGGTTCTGTCAGCCGTAACGTGGCCGTCCTGAGAACTGGTATTCTCCAAGGCCCTGCTACCACAGGCTTGTAACCCATCACATCTCACTGCTACCTGATTACTCCTGAAGCTCAGGGTATTTGCATTCAAGTTTGGTTTTCAGAGTTCAGTTTCTTCATGTAGCCATCAAGAACCGAGTTATGGGAGCTGAGGAGATAGCTCAGCAGGTAAAGACACTTGTCACCTGGTCTGACGACCTGAGTTCACTCCTGAAACCCACAGGCTAGGAGTCGAGAAGCAACTGCCACAGGTTGTCTTGTCCTCCACGTACAGGCTATGTGCCCAGACATACCCCATCCCCTCTCTCCCACACACATGATGTGTATGTGTACATGTCACGTAGATCACAATAATGTGCATCAGCGCTTCTTTGACGGGGTGATAGTGAAGCTGGAGCCTATGGGGAGGCAGATGCCAGCTGTAAGAGTTAAGGGAGGAAGCAGCTCTCCAAGGAAGGAGATGGGTGTGCGAAGATGGTACAGGAGAAAGTTTAGTGGTCAAAGGACTGAGAACACACAACGGTATCGTGTTCAAAGGAAAGAACGGCATCAGCTGTAGGTAAAAATGCAGGGCTTTTTAAATCAGAAGTTGGGGCTGGGTACAGTGGTACATGCCTATAACCTCAGAACTTGGGATGAAGCAGGAGAATCATGAGTTCAAAGCCACACAGCTACACAGCAAGACCCTGTCTCAAAAAGAATAGGAAAAAAAAAAAAAAAAAGAAAAGCAAATAGGCTTTTTTTTTTTCTGCAAAGGTGAGGTGCAGATCTCTGCCAAGCGCCCCATCAAAATGCTGGCACATAGATAGTGAATTGGTAGGTGCAGGTTAACCTGAGAAAACCTTTTGGGTGCAGGATCTAAAACAAATTATGGTAAATTGTGCAGCTGAGCCATGGAGATAAAAGGTGAATGGTTCACAGTAATTAAATGTGCTGGATGAGCCATCTGTTCCAAGTTCTCCTATGACCCAAGAAGATTCCATTCGTAGTCTTCTTCAGGACCCTCCTCCATCTAGGTTGCCCAAGCCCTCTTGATAGGGACCACATGCCCCCTCCCCCCAGCCTCTCTCACTTCCTTTGGGTCTTAACCAGTCCCCAGCCCATTCTCCACCAGCAAGTCCAGCCACCAACTATGGTCTTGAGACCCAGTCTCCTCCCTCACTGGGAGCCACGCCCACCATATGACCCTCCAGTTGTCCTCTCCAGGCTTGAGACCCATGACCAGTCCACACTACCTGGGAAAACTTGTTTCAACCTCCTTGACCTAGCCACTGTGGGCACTTGACTAGATGACCAGCAGAAGACCCAGGACCTGAACTAGAGACTGTATCCCTGAATCCCACCAGGAAATCACAAGCCTCACCATGCTACGAAACACTGCATACACCTCTGTTGAAAGAAGGTGACCTGAACAAAAAAAGAAAGGAAAAACTCAACCACCAAACTTAGCTTCAAATGCACAGATCTCAACAACATACAAAAAACGACCCACACATGCAGAAAGTACACATATCTCCAAAAATACAAGTTCCATAATAATGACCCCTAATGAAAATGACCTGGAACTCCCAGACAGAATTCAAAAGAATGGTTACAGCTATGTTCAAGCAACTCAAAGAAGACACATAAAACAGGAAGTCTTAAGAAATTCAAATTGCTGAAGAAATATGCAGGGTGAATGAATAGAGGAGCCTGATGTCTGCAAATGGGCATAAGGAACCCTGGGAATGGAATAGGATCACAGAAGCATTTGAAAATGGAACCATAGAGTCTCTGAGTTGCGTAAGATACCAAACACAAAGGAGACCTTCCAACAGAAACTATAAATTTGGCTGTTCATTACATTGTGCAGTCAGCTTTCCCATCAATACAAACAATTAGATAATGAAGGCAAAAGTTCATTTGGGCTCAAAATTCTTCGTCCTCTGGGCCTGTGAAAAGGTAGACCATACCCTGCGTCTCGCTGGACACCGCAGCAGAAGAGCTGGCCCTGCCCCTCACCGGAGGTAGGTGGCCCCAGGGGCCCTGAATGACCAGCTCAGCTACCACGCAGAACCACATCCTGGGCCTTGGATTAGCCCACCTTGACATCTACCTCATCTATGACCTGCAGTGCATGAAGGGACTGGTCCTCTGGAACCCTAACCACATGATCTCCATGACTCGGGGCAACAGCAGTATATCCTAAAGGAGTTTCGGTGAGGGTCCGGAGATGATGGTGTGCCTGAAGCCTTGAACCACAACAATGACTCATTGCAATAAATATGTGGGTGGGGCTGAGTGGGCAAAAGGGCTTTGTGATGTACCACAGCACCCAGGGCCGCTAGGATGAATGAAGAGGCTTGGAGAGACGGAGAATTGAGGCATTGTTTTTGTTTGTAATTAATTGGGGAGTGCTGCAGGGGTGAGGGGAGGATATGGAGGGACTTGGAGGTGTGTGGGATTGGGGTGCATGATGTGAAATTTCCAAAGAATCAGTAAAGAATTACATTATTTAAAAAAATATTTTATTTAAAAAAAAAGGAAGAAATGGTAAGCCACAGAGGCAGGAATACATAACAAAGCAAAACTTACTCCTTGTAGCCAGGAAATAAAGGAATTCCAGTCTTGTTGAAGGGCAAGCTCCCAAGGCCTATAGGCTTCCCACCAAACCAGCTGTGACGGTCCACGCCTGTAATCCAGCACTTGGGAAGTTGATGAGAGACTCTGGATTTATGCAGCATTGCATTAACTGCATGTGACGGCCCACGCCTGTAATCCAGCACTTGGGAAGTTGATGAGAGACTCTGGGTTTATGCAGCATTGCATTAACTGCATGTGACGGCCCACGCCTGTAATCCAGCACTTGGGAAGTTGATGAGAGACTCTGGGTTTATGCAGCATTGCATTAACTGCATGTGACGGCCCACGCCTGTAATCCAGCACTTGGGAAGTTGATGAGAGACTCTAGGTTCAATATGCAGCATTGCATTAACTGCGTGTGATGGCACACACCTGTAATCCCAGCCCTCGGCTGCATGAGATGCTGAAGACCAGCCTAGTCTAGAGACTCATGAATTTAAATAAATAAAATCCAAGCTAAACCAAGTGTGATGGTGGATGTCTGTTATCCCAACTATTCTGGAAGCTGGGGTAGAAGGATCACTTGAGTACAAGAGTTTGGTAATAAACTAGAGACATAAAACCCCAGTCTCAAAAAAAAAAAAAAAAAAAAAAAAAAAAAAAAAAAAAAACTGTAAACTTTACCAGCATTTTATTTTTTTGTTATAATTTGAAAAATTCCTCTTTATTTCGTACACAATTGTTTTTTTATTTTATTTTTCTTTCTTAAGAAATTTTCTACTCACTCCTCATGCTATCCACAGACCCCCCTCTCCTCCCACCCTCCAGCCTTCTTTCCCAAGCCACCCTGCATCCCCACATCCCCCAAATCGAGGTCTCCCATAGAGAGTCAGCAGAGCCCAGCACACTGAGCCTAGGCAGTTTACCAGCATTTTAAATATGAGCAATATAAGCTGAAAATGGGACCTAAATAATTGGCAGCACTCTCCTTATTAAATGAAAGGACCCAAGTTCCTTGGGAGAGCCAAGGGGAAAGGACTTTAAATACCTGTGCCAGGAAGCCTAAGATAGTAAAGTAGTGGCCAGCGCAAGAGCAGGTGAGTGCTCAGGGTTACAGTCCTTCAGACAGGCCAGCCAATAAAATCGCCTCCCTATCTCTTTAGATGGGTTAGAGGGGGTCTTGCTATGTGACCTTCCCTAGCCTGGTACTACCCACCCTGTAACTCAGGATGGCTTCAAACTCCAGGCGGTTCTGCTTCACCACCTCAGCACTGGGACTGTGAGCACTCACCACCACGCCCAGCTATTTCATGTGGGTTCTCGGAATCAAATCGGATTCTCTTGCATGGCAAGAACCTTGCCACCTGAGTCATCGCCCCAAACTTCACTCTTCACAAATTGCCCACTCCATGAGGCCCACCATTGAGAAACCCAGTCCCTGAGGTCCTCTCCTTCTGGCTTAAGTAGGGGTTCACCTGATGGGAGCCAAGGGCAGGCACTAGACAGGAGGGTGAGAAGAGATGATGCCTCTCATTCTTCACTTGATTCACCTTAACCTCCAGGCCCAGGAGTGGCAAACAGACTCCAGCTGTTGCTAGGCAACCTATCTTCACAGTATCTCACCATTTTCTGCTCCTGTGGGCCCTGCCCACACACCTGTAAACAGTCCTTTCCACAGTTTATCTAGTGTGTTTCCTGTCAGGACACACACACACACACCATAGATGTCCCAGTGTCCCACACAGTGCTCTGTAAAAAATGCAATGCTGTCCTGTCGGGTTTTTGTCGAGGGGGTTGGACTGACCACAGACTGCATTCTCATAAAATCCTCTCCATTTTCAAATAAAATACCACAAAGCCAGATGATAAGATTCAACATTTTATATCAGAAAAAAAAGTCAGGTTTCCAACATTAATTCCATTGAACAAGTGCACAGCATTTGCATGAACTATCTCGGGGCAACATCAGTACAAAACAGTTTCAATTTGTTCAAAAAGCCATTTCAAAAGGAAAAACCTTGATTACTTCAGGGTAAGTGCCAACACCACTTGGGAACAGGACATAAGGCAGGAACATGGCTGCCACATGGCGTGGGAACGGTCTGGCCTGAACAATGTTAGTACTTTGCTACAGCAGGAGACCTCAAATTGCCCTCCAAGACACAAATGAGTGGCAGAAAAATGTCATCTTCATTTGTTGGGATAACACGTCCACTTTAGTCACAGTAGAATTTTCTGTTGGCTGAGCAGTGAGACCCAGCGTCAGCCCTACATGGATCTATCTAACCGAAGGAAAGGAGAGTGGAGAGAGAGCCCTATGGGACGGTGTCACAAAGGTAAGGAAGAGCCAAGCAAAGACTCCTACAGAGCAAAAACAGGCCAAATCCTCTACTCGTGGGCTAAGACAGCTTCCACCTGGTCTGTGTGTTTTTCTATCCAGGAAGCTCCTGTTAAACCTTCAAGTTACACTACCAAGTAGAGAGCGGCCAGTGTAGGGCGTGAACTGGAAAAGCATGAAATGGGGATTTGCATGGGTGGTGCACAGGGCCTGGTATCACCAGAGCTTGTGCAGGGCACTAAGAAGAGCACTTGCTGCTGTCAGGGAACCTTGCAGGAGCATTTATGCTCTCTTGCTGCCCATATAGTGAACCCTTTTTTAAGACACCAGCAAGATTAAAAAAAATAATTCTCTTTAGGTAGACACCTGGCACTTCTGTTTCCTCCATAACAGCTATGCCTTCTATGAAATAATGTTCCTTTAGTAACACAACTTCCCAGAAGACCCATAAATACAGTTTGGCAGCGCAGACTTCCCCATTGTCAAGGCCCTCTGCACAGATTCTATTTACTATCACTTGAAATCTGCCCAAGTTCTCACCACAGACATCAACCCACCCCAATGTATGCACCAGGTACTACACGGCCCACCTACTACTTGCTAACGTCATACCTTCCTAGAAACCTTCACACCTTGACAGCATGCTCTGCCATGACAGGTCACTTGGTGTCATGCACTCCTTGGCACAAACTGGTTCGTGTCAGGCTTACAGTTCATCATGTTTGGCTTCCTGGTCCTTGAGTTTAAATTCCTCGGCCATGACCTTCCCATCTCCATTCCGGTCCTGGTTGGTGAACATGTTCTTCACGATCATTTCAGCATTAAAGCCGGGAGCCAGCTTCCCTTTGCCTGAGGCCACTTGGGCATGAATGTACTCTGAGAACTGGAAAGGAGACAGGACACATGTGAGAAATAGCAGAGCTGAGAATGCACAACCAAGCCTGAACTGTTGTGGCATTAAATCGAGGGGACTGTGAAATAAGAGTCTGTCTTTCCAAACCAAGTTGTTCTTGACGGCTACATGACCTGGGATTCCTCCCCGAGATGCGGGTGAAAGTCCCTGGACTAGGGGCTGCAGAGATGGCTCCGCAGTTAAGAGCACTTAGTTCCCAGCACTCACGTTGGGTAGTTCACAACCACCTGGAACTCCAGCCCCACGGGATCTGATGCTCTCTTCTGGGCTCCTCTGGCACCTGTTACGTACATACACATATCCCCACACATACATACACATAATTTAAAAAATAAAGATAATATTTAACTGTTTTTAAATCCCTTACCTAAAGGACCTCAAGTCCTTAGGGTCCAGGTATCCAGCTTCAGGCACCTGAACAGTGTTAGCTTCCCACCTGAGGCTGACCTCTCCAAAAACAGTGGATGTGCTGTATGCACACATTCACTCGTTCACAATAAAACCCTACCAGCATCTACCATGTGCCAAGCACCGTTCTAAATTCACGGGACACGTCATAAACAGAACTGCCCTTGTGATATTGATATTCTACATGAATATAATAAGTAAATTACACTTTAACTTACAAAGAGAGGGTGGAGAGAGAAAGCAAGGGAAGGTTAAGCAGGGAGAGTGAGCTGAAGCAGTGAATTTGGTGGTCAGGGTAGAACCTCTGAGGTCAGGGAGACTTGTGCAAAGACTTAACAGAAGTCGGGGAACGAGCCAAATAGTTGTCTGGGATGAGTCTGTTCTAAGCATAGAGAGCAGTTAGTTGGTTCAGAGGCCCCGGGAGGAAGCCTGCCTGGTGGGTTCTCAGAACATATACTGGACCACAAACACAGAGAGTAGCTGGTGAGGAGGTGGCAGCCAGCAGATGGAGAGGGCCCTGACAGCCACAGAAAGGCCTTGGAGATGGGCCTCTGCAGTTCTCAGAAGGAAGGAGCTGTGAGTGACTGTCATGGAGAAGCTCGGGGTGAGGCAGGCTTAGGGTGGGGTTAGGACAAGGATCAAGGTTCAATAAATGAAGAAGTAAAGCAGGAAGTTGGATATATGAATGCGAAGTGGGGAGATAGGCCAGGGCTGAAGCTCCAAATCTGGAAGACTTGAGGAGGGCATGAAGCCAAGGGACATGGTAGTGCCAGGACAGGAGGAAGGCAGAGAGAAGAAGGAGCATAGTCCAGGGTCTAGCCTGACACCCTCCCACAGGAAGACACAGCAGAGAAGAGGTCTGAGAAGGAACTGCCAACAAGGAGGCATGATGGGAGCAAAAGAGGGTCCTGCAGGAGTGCCCATCAGCACATGCTCAAGAGGCGGGACCACGGTCCGTGGCCTGGAGGTACAAAGGCTTAACAAGCGTGGCTTTAAAAAAAGAATGGATGGGGCAGGAGAGATGACTCAGTGCTTCAGAGCACTGGCTACTCTTTTAGAGGACCTGGATTTGACTTCCAGCACCCACATGGTGGCTCCCAACCACCTGTAACTCCAATCCCAGGGGATCTGATACCCTCTCTAGCCCACATGCATGTGCTACAGACATACATGCAGGCAAAACATCCATACACATAAAATGAAAATAAAGAATGAAAAGCTGATCACTGTGGAAAACTCAAGTCCCCACTACTTAGAAGGAAGATAGTTTGAACTCACGAATCCAGGGCTAGCCTGGGCAAGAGAGGAAGAACCCATCTTATAAAAGCAAAATAAATCCAGGAACAATGGTGCCTACCTATATTTCCAGCACTCAGGAGGCTGAGACAGGAAGACCATGAGGTCAAGGGCAGCCTCAGCTACAGAGCAAAACCTCATCTCAGAAGAACAAATAAAAAAGGAATGCATATAATAATAAAACAAACAAACAAACAAAAAACCAAACAACAACAAGAAAAGGGAGCAAAAGATAAAAGGAACGTTCCAGGTCCAGGAAAAGCCGATGGTGGAGAACGACAAAGTTAAGGCTAGAGCGTGGGCTTGAGCGGAGTAAGCCATGAGCTCTAACTCAATGCACCGTGACAGCACAAAAGACTCCACTATGAAGATGTGACCCTGGCTCAAACACTGGACAGCTGAGACCTTCCATGGGCCACTTCTTTCTCTGCAGGTTCTTCTAAACCAGTGGTTCTCAACCTTCCTAAGGCTGTGCCTCTTGAATACAGTTCCTCATGTTGTGGTGACATAACAATCAACCATAAGATTATTTTGTTGAGACTTCACAACTGTAATTTTGCTACTGCTATGAATCATGATGTGAATATCTGATATGCAGGATCTCTGATATGAAGACTCTGTAGGGGTCGCAACCTACAGGTTGAGAACCACTGTTCTAAAACATAAGCATGCCTTTTACATGGCTGTTGTGAGGGTGGAGCTGGAGAACACGTGTCCAGGCAGACCTGCAGTGAGCACCCAGTGACTGGAAACTGAATCCAGATCTGTGTGTTTGAGACATCCCTCCATCTCTCAGGAGCTCTGTTCCTGTGTGGGGGAATGTGTATAAACGCCCTTGGTACATACATGTGCTAGTTCCCACCATCACAAGAGATCTGCATAGCCAGCTCTGTCCTGGGCACACTGAATGGACTCCTGCCCCGAGAAGGCCCCTGAACAACTCCTAAAGGGCCATTTACCTCCTCCAGGAGGACTTCCCCATTGCCATCCTTGTCGATTTCTTCAAAGAGGTTGGGAGACACTTCGCCATTCCATATGAACATGTACCCCTCCGGAAGGCCAGCCACGAGCTCCAGCAGTTCAATGTCAAACACTAGGACGGCACTGCCAGGCACCTCTCCATCTAGTCAACAAAGTAGAACATGGCGTTAACCCACAGGCCAGTGGTTGGGACCATCCAGCTGTGCTGCCCTCCCCAGTCTCCAGCTGCCACACCCAAGGAGGCTACTAATTCCAGCTGTTGCTGGTGCCCCCTCATAGAAGCATGAGATCAGCTTAAAGGAAGATGACCAGATATTTTCTTAAAGGAATGAAATAAACTAGATCCCTGAATATCCCAGACAGGAAGGGTGCGTGTCATTTCATGAAACCTGGGTCTCAGTTTATATGCAAACTAAATGTAGAAGCTGGGAAGTTAGCCTGGGTTTGGTTCCCATTACCCACGTCAGGCATGGGCAGGCAAAATGGCTCAGCAAAAAAAGGTGTCTCCCACAAAACCAGAGTAAGATTCCCAGGACCAACATGGTAGGAGAAAACTTATGCCACAGACTGACTTCTGACCTCCACACATACACATGCACACATACACACAAAACCTCCACACATACACATGCACACATACACACAAAACCTCCACACATACACATGCACACATACACACAAAACCTCCACACATACACATGCACACATACACACAAAACCTCCACACATACACATGCACACATACACACAAAACCTCCACACATACACATGCACACATACACACAAAACCTCCACACATACACATGCACACATACACACAAAACCTCCACACATACACATGCACACATACACACAAAACCTCCACACATACACATGCACACATACACACAAAACCTCCACACATACACATGCACACATACACACAAAACCTCCACACATACACATGCACACATACACACAAAACCTCCACACATACACATGCACACATACACACAATCAATCAATCAATGCAAGTTAAACAAAACATTTAAGCAAGGCACAGTAGCACACACTCATAACCCCAGCACTGAGGAAGCTGGGGAGAGGCAGAGACAGGCAGATCCCTAAGCCCAGCCAGCCTGGCTCACTTAAGTCCCAGGCCAGTGTGAGACCCTGTTTCAACCAATGTGGATGGCACCTAAGAAAAGACACTCAGAATGGCCTTCTGGCCCCACACATACACACACACGTGCACTCCCAAACACACGCGACCCACACAAACATGCACACACATAAATGAATCAATTCTAAGTTTGTGTGGAATAGAAAATGAAAGACAGCATGGAATTCTTGGGCCAGGTATGTGGGCCCATGCCTATAATCCTGGCTCTTATCAGGCTGGGGTAAGAAGACTCAAAGTTTGAGGCCGGCCTGGGCTACATAGTAAAATGCTGCTTCAGAAAACCAAAACAGTAAAAACCATAGGGGGAAAAAAGTATGTCTCGCTTTACTTTTTGGTGAAAACAAAACATCTGTAAGCCACTGATAGGGAACAACACCTACAGAACCTTTTTCTCCTTTGAGGTGCCGGAGATCAAGCCAGGGCCCCACACATGTCCAGCCAGCACTCTTATCACTGAAATACACTCCCAACCCCAATTAAAGAATTTTAGGATCAATTTAATAGCAGAACTTTAAGGACAATAACAATGCCTGGAAATGATACACAATTCAAGGTCAAGAAGACTCAAAGGAAGTACTGCATCTATTAAAAATAAGTACTATAATTATTATAGATTATATTTTTGAAATTTGTTTTTATTTTTGGTGTTGGAGATTAAATCCAGGGCCTCATGCATGTCGAGCACAAGCTTTTCCACCAAATTATATTTTACATACAGTGTATAATGTAATTATACGTCGTTGAGGAAAGTCTTAAAGGACACACACAAATTGTCTGAAGCACTTCTCCTGGGATAAGTGAGAGGAGCAGACAGCACTTGGTAGATTTTCTTAAAGTTTTTGTTTTTATGAAAAAGAAAATCAACCCAGCATGCCAATCACTTTTACAAACTGGCACCCTTCGGCGCCAGCTGTCAGCACTGTAAAAACACTGTAAAGGAGTATTCTGGAATCACAAAATAATAAAGAAGAGTGTCGTCACCCCTGAAGGGTGCAGCGGCTGGCTTTCCCAGAACTCAAAAGCAATCTCTAGCATACAGCATCTTCCTTGACTTACAGGCTACAGAGCAATGAACAGCAATGGCCTTCAGCATGCAACCTGGCCCAGGTAACAGTTCAACAGAAGCAGGCAGCCTGACCCCAGATCACCCAAAGCCCTCCTTTCGGGCCTGGCAGATGAACCTGCAAACCAGTGGTATGCTTGCCTGAAGCTTGATCTTTCTCAAGGCCATCACAGGGCAGTGGCAGGAGTCTTTAAACAAAATTCACAGGGTCTTTAAACAAAAATGCTCAAAACTTAAAAAAAGAAAAAAAAACAAAAACCACAAAACCCGTCAACCCTTTGGTTTTAACATGAAGAATCCTGCTATAGCTCTACTTATGGTGCCAAAAGCCCAACGGGAATTTCCCAGCACTCCTGAACACCGTCACTTACCTACACCGGCCTCTCCATAGCCCAGGTGGGGTGGAATGATCACTGTTCGCTTTTCTCCCACGCACATTTCTCTGAGACCCATGTCCATCCCCAGCACGACTTGTCCAGATCCCAACACAATGTTATAAGTTTTGCCTAAGTTCCACCTAAAAAAGGGAAGAAATGAGTGCCTATCAATGGTGGTGGAGGGTATTCTGCTCAACGAGTACAGTTCTGAAGAAATGTCAGAGAGACCCACAGCGAGACACGCTGCAAAACAACCAGCCTGCCCGTTTCTAAACTGACAAAGGCGTGAAAATCAAGACAAAATGGCTGTTCCACAGCACAGGAGCACGCAGGTTTGGGATCTCACTGCGATGGGGGAGCCTACAGGAGTGCTGGTAAAAATGAAGCTACATGGATACATTCCTGGCAACAACTGGCTCTCCAGCGGCTCCTAGGAGTAAGTTCTTTGTATCTAAACAGGCATTTTATAAGAGTATAGTACGCATGGTGTAGTTAGGAGCCTGCATTTTACTGTATTTATTACTGATTTATTTAGAAACACTATATAGCCCAGGATGGCCTTGAAATCACCATGTAGTCCAGGATGACCTCAAAAGTGCTAGCATTGAGGCAAGAACCTTAGGAACATGGCTTTTAGATTCAAAGCCTGAGGCAGACTCCTGGTTGTGGACGAGGGAGGTGGCCCAGCCGTTCAGAGCACCCGAAAGAATCCTGGCTCTGCCATTTCATTTGACCTGGGAAATGTAGCCTTGGTTTCTCTATCTATAATGTAGAGATAATAACAGTCAATAATAAATACGCTTGACATGGTGGAAAGCAAAGAAAGGGGTGTGAGGCACTGCGGTCTGTGCCGTCTCCAACTCCACAGATCCCACTGAGAATTTCGTTAACCACAAAGTTCAGGGATCCTGGAGACCCAGCTAAGAAGTGGGCCCCACAGCCTCAGGCATGACTGAAAGTCAATCTACTACTTCAAAACCAACAGCACTCCTACCATTTCCAAAAGGGCAAACAACAGCTAGTATGTTCTTCAATCCCTTGGTGCCCATCACCAGATGGTGACAAGGAGCAGATGTCTCCTTAGGGTTACAGTCTCCTGGGCCTCCCAGCCTCCACAGGCCAGGACCGCCGCTTCCTTCCCTCCTTCCCAGACCAGCTGATGTTCAGAACCCAGCAAACTCAGGAAGACCCTGTGTTTTCCCTACCTAGGAAGAAAATGACAAAGCCAGCACAGACACAGGATGTCCTCAGGAGGGGCCTGCAGAGGAGCCACCTCTGACCCACTGGCTGTCAGCTTTTCTTAGCAACCAGAATCTCCATGCTGCCTCTCTCCAGGTCCCAGCAGGAAGCAGTACAGGTCTCTGCGGCTTGCAGAACAGCCAAGACCTTGCTTACCCCGTAACAAATGCCCAATTGAAATACACAGACATTAAGAGGATCCTCTAAGCAAACAACTCCATTACTTCTTTTCTCTGGGGTCTTTTTATTTTTGTTTACTTATTCTGTGGGATTGTTAAACACCATCCTCATTCCTCTGTGTTCTCCCACCCCCAGGCTTCCTGCTTCCTGTCATGAGTCTCCTTAGCTCTCTGGCTCTCTGCCCAGTCTCTCATTGGGATTTCCATGTTTCCTGGAAGCAGCATTGTGCTACCTAGTTTTATGTCAATTTGATACAAGCTAAAGTCAGCTGAGAGGAGGGAACCTCAATTGAGAAAATACCTCCATAAGATCTAGTTGCAAACAAACCTATAAGGCATTTTCTTAATTAGTGAATGATGGGAGAGGGTCCAGCCCATGGTGGGTGGTGCCATCCCTGGGACGGTGGTCTTGGGTTCTATAAGAAAGCAGGCTGAAGCAAGCCTGTAAACAGCACCCCTCCACCTTGGCTGTTGGGAACATGAAGGTCTTTGTGCCCACAGATTTCCAGGGAACCTAGGAATGTTAAGCACCCAGGGCTGTTCTTTCAAAGGGAAGGATGTATAACCTGTTTTTCCAGAAAGCTGTGAAGTGATTAATAGCCTGGTGATCTGCATTATCTGTTGGGCCAGGCCATACAAAGTTCCTACAACCAGGACTGGAAGGTGGCTAGTAATCTAAATGACCCTTACAGCTAGGAACTCCCCAAGCTCCCACAACCAGGACTGGAGACACCTAATAGTCTAAATGACCCTTATATTATCTGTATAGCCAGGGGCTCCCCCAAGCTCCCACAAACAGGGCCAGAAGTGGCTAATAGCCCAAATGACCTCTACACTATCTATATGACCAAGACGAGGCCAGAACCTTCCTTAGGTCTTTAAGCTACTACAGGTAGCCTATCTCTAGAACCATCTTCTTGGAAAAAATGGCATGTACCCTGAATCAAGTTTCTATGTAATTATGCTTCCTTGCGCACCAGGGATTGTATTATACCAGGAAAACTTTTTTCCCAGATTACACTGTGTTTAAATTAGTTGGGAATAAATAGCCTAATATCAGACTCCCTGGAGTCTGGATCCAGGGTGGCAAAGTCAATCTGAACGAGTTTTCATTCTCATCTCTCTCCGTAGTTCACTTCCCTGCCTGGACACCTGCAGAGTCCCCCTCAAATGGCCTCTGCATCAGCTCCTGCCTCCAGGTCCCTGCCCTGTTTGAGTTCCTGTCCTGACTTTCTTCAGTGATGGACAGCGATACAGAAAGTGTAAGCCAAATAAGCCCTTTCCTCCCCACGTTGCTTTGGTCATGGTGTTTCAGCACAGCAACAGAAACCCTAACACGCACCTACACCAGTGAAGTGGTTGTATCTGTTGTACCCAGGAAAGGTTTAAGGTGGCACCAGGAAGGCAGGTGCCTGCCTGCCTTCCCATAATTCCTTTCTTTGTAATGTCACACACTAAAGAGACCAGGAAGGATGTGTGGCCACTGCTCTTGCCTGTGGATTTACATGTAACACAAATGACTGTGGAGGCACAAAGTAAAGTTTCTCTTGAAAAGAAGCATACATGCAGACAGAACCCTGTATACATAAAAAATAAATAAATCTTGAAAAAAAAAAAAAAGGCTCCCTGAATCCTGTGGTTCCCACTCAGTAAGAATATGGTGATTCCACCCAACACATCAGAGAGCGGGAAGTCTGATCTCCGGCCACAGAAGCGCATCCTGTACCAACGAGGAAGCAGTCCTTCATCTCTCACCCTCACTCCCCTTTGCTCGGTCTGAACAGTAGAGCAGGGGCGGTAGCAGGGACTTCCACTGTGCTAACCTTCTGGGCCACTAGTCACTCCCACTACCTCTGAATACTTCCACAACCACTGGCCGAAATTACTCTGCAAGGCCTGTTGTAGGCCAGATCTATGTGAATCAGGGCCACCAAAGTTAAGGATATATTTCATCAATTCTAAACTGTGGACTTCCCACACACACACACATACATCTTAGCATCTCTGTGATTATGACGGACAGAGCATCATTGCTTCCTGGCAAAACACTTTTGTGTTCTTAGAGATTCATAAAATAGCATCTCCAACAATGAATGAATTTTAGATTTGATGAAATAACATTGAATGTGTCAGCATGCAGGACCTCATAGTCCAAAACCAGACTATCAGAGCTAGAAGGCTGAAGGACAGGTAAAAGAGAGGCACCTCCATGCCCAGAATAAACAGTGGCCCTTACTTACACAAAGGAAGCCCTTTCTGGGATCTGAATCCAGAAACCCTTTCTGGAACTCAGGGATCTGAATCAGGCTCAGCACAAAAGTAGATGTTCTTCTACAGAAATATAAAGTCTGACAATGGTCCTTTCCCAGAGAGGAGACCGGCTGAACTTCTAGATTCACTTGAGACTCAGAGTCACAGTAAGCAAACCTGTTTTTACGCCATTTTATTATTTTCAGGTTTATTTCTATCACCTAACATTTATAAAATGATCCTTTTGTGTTACAGATACTGGGTACACAAAAGAAAAAATATCAATAAGCAAACCACGTATCCCTACAGTACTCAGATCATAACAGACACAAAAATAACTTAAAGCCAGGGGATGAAAAATACAAATAGTGTTAGGAGACTGAAGAAGCAGGAAATTCAATTCCTCCCAGGAATTTAGGGATGGTTTTGAGAACAAGAAGGACATGTAAGTAGCAACAAATGTTCGCCAGCAAAGAGACCATGCAGTCTGTAGCCTGTGCCACTGTGCAGGGTGGGACTCCAGTGAGGTCACAGTTTCTGTAACAGACTAGGACAAAGAAAGCCCTGTGCATCAGACCCCAACACTAGTTCTTACTTGCGGGACATTTGATCACACTGTGAAACTCCAAGACTGTGTTCATAAAATTAACCTTGGCTTTGGGGGCACGGCCAGTGACTAGTTGACAAGAATTAGCCATAGAGAGTACAGAGGACCCAGGAAGACAGAAGGATGCACAGGAAGAAGTGAGGAGGGACTTAGAAATTTACAGGCCTTTCTGGTTTGAGATGGGTAGAGAGATGTTCTCTTGCTGGATCTCCAGCCAAAAAGGAAGGTCAGCTGGTTGCTTCGCAGATTCTCTGATCTAGCAGGTTTTCACCCCAACATCTGACTCCCGGGTCTTTATTGGTAAATAGAACATCTTATATAAAAACAACACTTACTCAAGGGCCTCAGTATGCATCTGTGTTTGCCTTTAACCTTCTGTCTCCTATTGCAGCTTTCCAAGCAATAGAATTACAGGTCAATGTCACTACATCTGGCTCCAAGGACTTAGTTATTAAATATAGATGTGACTTTGAGAGTTCTACCAGGTAAGAAACAGTCTAGAGCCAAGAAGATCTTTGGTACGAAACTCTCAGAATTATTCACTGAGCACTGAGAAGGCTTACACTACACATTAAGGAGGGTTGGACCAAGCAACCCCTACCCAGTGTCTGACGAAGAGGGGAAGACAGTGAAAACTACTATCAAAAGCTCCCTCCACATCTGGTTCCCAGGTACCCTTACGTGGAGTCCAGCAGAGTCCCATCCAGGAGTGAGGCATTGTAGTGGTATTTCAGGTAATCCCCCTTCTTACTCAGCACCGAGCAATCAGGAGGCTTGTAGTGGGAAGTGATGCTGATGGAATCCGAAGGGTTGTGGAAGTCAATCACATGGATGTCAAACACCAGCACAGCTGAGCCAGGAATGTTCCCTGAAGGGGAGACACAGGGAATCAATGAACAAGCCCACCAAATCACGGCACACTCGCCTCCCCAGGACCAGCAGGTGTGTCCTGGCAAGGAACACAGGGATCCAGGCATGAAATCACAGGGGCACTAGGAAAAAAAGAAGCCGAAAGGAATGTCAGAAGTAATCTAATCTTCATTTTGCCCTTGAGGAAACTGAGGCACAGTTGATAGGAGTCATGAAACTAATTATGAGTACACTTTGAATCCAAATTTAAGACAAACCCACTGCCCCAGTTATTAAGCATGAAAAGAGGCATGGCTAAGTGAAACGCAGATCAGGAAACTCATGCCTATGCAACTGAAGGCTTGCCCTGTCCCAACGGAAGAGGCAGCATGGGAAATGAACTGTAGAATAATAGTAGGTCAGTGTCCAACCTACTACTCAAGAAAAGCAAAGCTATCAAAAACTTCATAAAATGAAAACAGACTGTACCCCTTATGTTAGTGTACCAAGAGTCAGAAAGTGTCTACAATGCATCCAGCTTGTTCCACACAGGATGGGCATAATCAGAGTATAAAGAACTTGGATGAGTGCCTGGTATTCAATAACCACCTATTACTTATATATATTAGTTAATACTTGTCATAATCTTATCTTATGGGGAAACTAGTTCATAATTTGAGGTTTGCCCAAAGTTAAGAGTTATAGAGAAATTTGTGCTTTATAATAAGACAAAGATATTCGCATCTGTGGCTGTTGTTGTTGTGTTTGTGGGTTTTTTTGGTTTGGGCTTTTGTAACAGGTCTTGTCAAAGGTCTGCACCCGCAGTGTAAATACACTAAAAACCACTAAGTGGTAAGCTTTAACACCAAAGCTGAGCAGGGATAAGAGAGATGGCTTAGCAGTTAAGAGCACTTGTTGCTTTAGAAGAGGACCTGGGTTCCATTTCCAGCACTCACATAGTGGCTCACATCCATCTACAACTCTGGTTCCAGACTTCATAGGCATTTCACACATGTGGCACACATACATGCATGCAAGCAAACACTCCCAAATATGAAAGAAATAAATCTTTTAAAAACAGCACAAAACTGAAGCCAAGCATTGAGAGCAGACCTCCAGCCAGCTCCCTATTTAACTTCACTCAGACCTTGCTTTTCATAGTTGTTAGGTAAAGTAGCTTCTTTTATTATCAGCCATGAGTTTGGTCACTGGCCAGATGGCCTCTGGGCAGTTAACTCCAAGGTAATAAGAACAGGGTAAAGGGTAATGACCTTTGTTTTTGAGATCAGCATCTCTTGGCTTGGTGAGGAGACTCCAGTTAGGGTCAGGATCTCTCTGTGGGCATCTGTCCACAGACTACAAACCTCCACTTGTGAGGCAGCCACCAGTCTATAAAGGATCCCTGAATCAGCCTTCCAGGCCAGGTGGCTCTTCAGGACAGCTATTGATAAAGTTAATAATAAAAAATCGTGAGGCTGTAGCCAAGGCAGTTAGAAGTCAGTGATGGGCAGGACCACATCTTGACCAGGACTGCTCAGTTACACGTACCTCTCCCCCTCATTTCACTGAAGATGGATGTGTGGGAAGGGGTTATCAGACTACTTCATCTGTCCAGAGTGACCACTCTGAGTCAATGACATTTCTCTGCTCTTCATCAGGGAAGTGATGAATTATTTATTATTACCTCTCTCCTTGGTACATCGGGGATGAGCCTGAACCGAACTTCTTAGGGCTTCCTGAGCCCAGGCTTTGACCCCAACAACTCGAATAATATTGTGAATATACTTAATTTCTCTGAATTGTAAGCTTAAAAATGGTTCAAATGGGAAAGACATGAACCACAATCTGTTTACTCCCAGAACTTGGGAGACAAAAGCAAGAAGAGAAATAAGTTTAAGGCCACCCTGATCTAAATTAAAAATCCCAAGCCCCAAGCCAGCCAATGTTACACAGTAAGACCCTGTCTCAAAAAAAAGGGGGGGTGTAAAAATGTTGCTCATATGTTCATGTCTGTGTGTTTATGACAGTTAAAAAAAATCAAATAATGTAATTCTCCACCACTGAAGAATACCAAAAAAAAAAAGGTATACTGAAAAAAAAAATCACATAAAAGCCTTAAAAATAATGTCAGCAGCAGCAGGAAGGCTGAGGCAGAAGAATTCTGAGTTCTTGAGTCATCCTGGGCTACATAGACAGACCCTGTCTCAAAAAGAAAACTTAAAATGTCAGTGCCTCGGCCTTATTCTGGGGCTTTAAGGGTGGTCTCAATGTTGTCTGGATGGAGAACAAGGTTGAGAACTGGCCCATTGCCACTCAACCCCCTGTACACCACAAGTGATTCTCAGCTGCACCAACATTCAAGAACCTCTGGCTTGAGAAGGACCAGGGATTTCTTTTCCTGGGTGACTATGTTTAAGAAAAACTATGGCTGGGCATGGTGGTACATGCCTTTAACCCCAGAACCCAGGAGGCAGGCAGATCTCTGTGAATTCTAGGTCAGCCTGGTCTGCTTAGCAAGTTCCAGGCCACAAGGATACACAGTGAGACACTTTCAAAAAAACAAAAGAAAGAAAGACTATGTTAATGGCATGTGGTTGACTAACATTTCTCAGCAAGGTACTAAACTTGATTAATGTAAATAAAATGCCCCCTTCATGATGCACTTCTACAGCCTTCTACAGGAGAAAACAGAATAGGTCCCAGACCAGCACATTCCCAGGATCTGCTACTAGTCTGCCAAGCACTCTGCTGATGACTAAGTCAACTTCTTTGACACAAACATCTTGTCAGCCGAGAGACAGACTCACACCCACTCAGTGAGTATTGTATTAACAGTAGGCTTGCTTGTCAGCTTCTAGGAAGCTGGTGTGGTTCAGTCTCCCAGGTGCCCAGTTAACTCAGAGACACAAACATTCCAGTGAGGGTGTCAATGAGGATCTAGGTTCTGTGTGGGCGGGGAGTTATTGTTTCTCTTACTCTGTGATGAGTTCCCAACAACTAAGCAGAACATGGTCATGAAATTACTCAGTGCATCTAAATGGAGTTTCTTCACCTATAAAACCAGAGAATAGACCTTGAACCCTAAGGATTAGTCTTGAGCCCCCCCAAGAGCCAGCAAGGCAGACACAAAGGCTGTTAGCAGGCTGCCTGGCCCAGCAGAACACTCTTCCACTTCCTGGTAGTTACTAATTCCCCTTGAGATCTCTGGAACTTCTGGTTTGAGTTCTCAGTTCACAACATATGGAAACCAACAAGTCACTGCCTAATGGGAACTTGTCCTCTGACACAGACACATTAGAAAGCTGTGGGTCTAACTGTGGCTCCATTCTGTGGCCTTAAGCAAAGTGCTCAACTTTTATGGGTCTTACTATCTTACCTAAACAGTGGTTACAGTAACACTTTCTTTCGTGCACGGTCATGTGTGTGTAAGTATATATGCACAAGTATACAGGCCAGCGGGCAAATTCTGGTGTTGTTCCATGAGCACTGTCCACTTTTCTTTCTTGCTTTTTCTTTTTAAGACATGGTCTCCCACTGTTCAGGAACTCAACAAATCATCTGGGCTCACTCAGGGAGCCCCAGGGATCCATCTGTCTCTGCCTCCTCAGTGTATACACCAAAACCACCATATCTGGCTGTTTTGTGTGAATATTAAGGATCAAATGTCTGGTCCTCAAGTTTCTATGACAAGCCTTATTATAGTAACAGTGTCCACAACTGTTTTCAGTTTTCCATGAGCTTTTGTGCAAGAAGTCCCAGAGGGTTTGGGGACATAGCTCAGTCAGCAAAGTGTCTGCCACACAAGCATGATAGGCTGAATTCCGATCCCCAGAATATGTAAACCTCTGGGCACAGACTGCATGCCTGCAACCCTAGGCTGAAGCTCACTGGCTGGTCAGCTAACTAAACGGATGATCTTCAGGTTCAGAGAAACTCAGTCTGAAAAAAATAGAAAAGACACCTGACGTCAACCTCAGGCCTCCACCCAATGTGCACACACATGCACAAACACCTATGTGCACGCACACATCTACAACACACACACACACACACACACACACACACACACACACAATCCCAGACACAAGTGGGCAAAACAGCAGTTATTTTGTTCACTTTCTTTTTCCCTAAAAAGTGCTTAAAAGACAGTTACCCAGCAAACCACTTCTCTAACAAAGAAAGCTGCACTTCAGAGCTGCAAACACTCTAAGTGTCCACAATCCAGAGCTGTCCTTGAGGAACACAGCAAGGCAGAAAAGTGCTAATCCAGAGCACGGAGGCAGTAACCCCCCCAGAGTACCCGGGTTTCACACTTCAACATGGGATTCAGGATGGAGCAGCCTCTTGCTCATAACATTTATGATTCTTTGGAGGTTTCCCAGAGCCCCATTTAAGTCTGTGCAGACCTCAGTCTCATACTTGATGGAGAGCCAAAAGGAAAAAAACACTTTAAGCAAATGGTTTTCATCAGTGTGTTCTTTTTTCAAAGACAGGAAGGATTATTCTTCAAGTCATAATGAAATAAGAATACTCAAACTATCTGCTTCTGTGTGTGGTTGACCAGAACTAAAACCTGGCTGGCACTGATAAAACAGTAGTATCGAAACACTAAACAGGACATGAAGCAAGACCTATTTTAACTATTTATTCATTCATTCATTCATTTCATGATGGATGGTTGAACCCAGGGCCTCATGTATGCTAGGCAAGCATTTTACCACTGAGGTATATCCCTCATCTTTTTTCTTTTCTTCTTCTTCCTCATCTTTTTTCTCTCTTCCTCTGTATCTATCTCTCTCTTTCCTTTTTTTTTTTTTTTTAAAGAGGTTCTAGCCGGGCGGTGGTGGTGCACGCCTTTAATCCCAGCACTCGGGAGGCAGAGCCAGGCGGATCTCTGTGAGTTTGAGGCCAGCCTGGGCTACCAAGTGAGTTCCAGGAAAGGCGCAAAGCTACACAGAGAAACCCTGTCTCAAAAAACCAAAAAAAAAAAAAAAAAAAAAAAGAGGTTCTAATGTAGCCCAGACTGGCCTCAAAGTCACTATTAGCTGAGTGTAGTGGTTTGAATGAGAATGACCCTGTGGGCTCATATACTGAATGCTTGGTCCCAGGTGGGTGAAACTGATTGAGGATTAGAAGATGTGACCTTGTTGGAGGATGTGAGTCACTAGGTTTCAAAAGCCCATGCCATTCCTAGTTAACTCTTTCTGCCTCCTACTTACAGAGCTAAGCTCTTGGCTATTCATGCCACCATGCTTTTGCATTACTATGCCTTTGCTCTGCTGTCATGAACTCCAACCCTCTGAAACTGTAAGCCCCAAATAAACGCTTCTACAAGTTGCCATGGTCACGGTGTCTTATCAGGGGAATAGAAAGTAACTAAGACACTGAACATGACCTACAACTCCTAAGTCTCCGAACTCGGCCTCTGCTTCCTGAGTGTTGAGATTACAGCATTCATTGCCAGCTCCGATTTCTTAAAGTATGATCCTTTATGGCCCAGAAAATCAGGAATTTAAGTCAGAGAGGAAAAAATGCTTCTCAGTTGTACCCTCTAGCTTCCAATCAGCTTGATTCATCTTGGATCCTCTGTGAGGAAATCTCCCAACTCCCAAGAACCATATTATATGTGAACAGAAATCAGAAGAGGGCTAAAAAGTGAGTATATTCAGCCAATGAGAACAGCCAGAATTTCAGCAGCAAAAAAATATAAAACCATGATTAAAAAAAAAACTGCATCAATTATCCCTAAGGAAGTCTAAGCAAGTCAGCAAGAACTAATGCAAGAGGAAAAAACACAATAACAAAAACAAATATAAACATGATTTCAAATATTAAATACTAGGTAGCTATTAAAAGTATCTGTTGACGGGTTGGAGAGATGGCTTGGCTGTTAAAGGCTAGGTACACAACCAAAAAATACCTGTTGACATATAAAACTGTTCACATCAACCTGGGTGACGAGAGGTATTACAACACAGTATGATGAAAAGATAATCTCTTTCAGTGTATATTAATATAGGTAGATATTTCTTTATTCTTACCCTCTGTCTTTGAGAAAGGGCCTACCTACGTAGTCCAGGTTGGACTTGAACTTTCAATTCTCCTGCCTCCACCTCCCAAGAGCCATGAATATAGACACATATCCCATACTGAGCACATACACTTTTTTTTAACTTACAGATATACCCAAATGTACAGAAATATCTACTACTGGGATAAGAAATTACCTCAAATTTGGGGGCCTGAAATCACAAAAACTGAGCTGGGGATGAAGCCGGCAGTGAAGCACTTGCCCGGGCTGCACATGGCCTTAGGTTCCATGCCCATCACTGTAAGGAAAAGAAAAAGAGAAGGAAAGATAGAGAGATGGGGGTGGGGTGACAGGAAGAGACGGGGAAAGAGGACAAGCAAACAGACTCAGCTCTGGAAGTCAGAGGCATAATTTAAAGGCACCGGCCGGGGATATGCTCCTTTTGGAGGCCTCAGGAGAGAGTTCCCTTGTTTCTACCCTGACCAAAGGCGACCTGCATCAGTGACCATGGCCACGGCCTCTGTCTCAGCCAAGCTTACTTAGCTTCTCATCCAGCTCGCATCCTGCCTCCCTCAAAGACCCTCAAAGCATTTCAGGGCCATCTGGATAATCCAGAACACAATCCCTGCTTCAAGGTCCTTCAAGGTCACACCAGCAAATACCCTTTTAAGAAGGAAATATTCAGAGATCCATGGACACATTTTATGTAATATGCCTATTGAGGGGACCAAACAGATGCCATAACAGGCTGCTCAGTCTTCTCTCAGAAATCAAGCCTCAATTTCCATTTCCTGAGACTGAACAAGTAGTTTCTGAGAGAACCACGAACAAAGGACAATGAGTCTCCAACAACACCTACGACAGCAAGGACGAGGAGGCCTGGTATACGCAGTACCAGGCCAGGCCAGGCCAGGCCTGAACCACAGTCAGCAGATAATCAAATAAGGACCAAGCCTGGGACTTGTCCAGGCCGGCCCCAAAAAGGAAAAACTATAGCCTTAACCAGCCCCTGACTAGCCCTGGCCAATTAGATCATACTAATACGATTGCCACTTCCTTAAGCCTATGATAGCAAAGATCACCGAACTTCCCTTGGCTGTGCTTAAAAGGAGTCTTCAGGCTCCTCTCTAGGTCATCCCAATTTGCCTTTGTGTGGGATAGTCGACTCCAGCATGCTGGAATAATAACCCTCTTGCTGACTGCATACATGGATGGTAGTCTTTTGCGGGGCTTCTCCAGGACCCTAACATCTATCACAGTAGCATTAACTTCACATGGTGTGATTTGGGGAGATCTGGAGGTCTCATTTATCTATCATTTATCTATTTTTTTGGTCCCAAAGATAAAATATATTATTTGCATCTACTTTGTCTGGTTTTTTTTTTTTTTGTAGTGTTTTGTTTGTTTGCTTGTTTTTGTTTTTGAAGCAAGGTCCCATTTAGCTCAGGTTAGCCTCAAATTCCTTATGTAGCCAAGAACAACTATGTTCCTGATCTTCCTGCTTCTACCCCCAAAGTGTTGGGACTGCAGGTCTGTGCCACCACACTTAGCTATTTCTACAATTTTTTTAAAGGAAGTTTGCTCCTAAAGTGACAAAATGTCCCTAGAGTTAAGGTGCTGGCTATACAACTCACTAAATTCACTAATGCTGCTGAACTGTGTAGTTAAATGGGGGGGGGGGGGGGGGCGTTTCTTAGTGTGCAAAATAAAAACTAAGGGGGGGAGTAAAGTTACACTTACTTTCAACCACTTTATTTAAAATAAATGAAGAAATATAAAGGCAGTTAAACTATAGTAAAATGTTGGGGCTGGAGAGATGGCCCATCAGTTGAGAACATGGGCTGCTACTCTTCCAGAGGACCCAGGTTCAGCTCCTAGCACTCACACAGCAGCTCATTAACTTTAACTCTAGTTCTAGGGGATCCAGTGTCTTCTCCTGGCCTCCTCAGGAGGCATACACATAGTACACACTTACATACACACAGGTGAAATACTCATACATGTAAAATAAAAATAAATATATAATAATCATAGATAGACACACAGACAGATAGAGTAAAATGTTAACAATTGGTGAAACAAAGTAGAATTTACTGTGCAACCCTTTCAACACTGGTGTAGATTTTAAATTTTTCTGAAAGAAATGGAAAATGGGTAGGGGGCACAGCTGCAACCAAGCAGCTCTGGACATGAAAGCCATCAGTGGGGTGGAGTCGTATACTGCATTTGGCTTCCTGGTTTTGTCTCTAGAAGTGCTGACCTGAGCAACGTGGAAGCAACCAGTTAGTGAGGAGGGCAGGTAATACACACCTCTTCCTTCTTCTCCATAGCCCAGGTGAGGAGGGACCACAATCCTTCGCCTCTCTCCAATGCAAACACCAAGTAAGCCTTCATCCATCCCAGGAATCACATAGCCCTGCCCAATGTATGTGTCAAAGGTGTGGTTCCGTGAGTAGCTAAGAAAGAAGGAAAAGATGAGGTCATTCATAATGGACACCCACAGCAGCTGTGGAAATTACTCAGAATCCCAATGCCAAAGGACCATAGGCACCACCACACCCCAGAACAGCTAAACCTTAGAATCTGAGGACACAGCCCAAGAATATGCTCCCCTGGAATGCGGAACACGTGAGCACCTGTAGAAACAACATATTGTACTTACCACTTGTATGGTCACATTATAAAAGGAACAGGAATGTGAGAAACAGTCACACACAACAGAGCTGATGGGAGTTGCCTATCTCCTTCCCAGTTCCCTATTTGTTCCTGGTATTTACATTTCTCTCCTCTATCTTTTTTTTTTTTTATCAACTCAATACTAATAATCTTCCTCTGCTTTTTCCCTTCCCACTCACACCCACAGAAGAGCACACAAAGTACTATCAATGTTTCCAACCTCCTAAAATAATTAATGTTTAAACAATGGTTGTGTTCTGTTTATCTTGTAATTTCATAGTGGGCCTTCCCTTTAATAGTAATTGTTTTGGGAGGTAGTATTCTACTCTCTAGAAGTACTGGGACTGAGCCTGGTGCCCTCAGCGCCGTTCTAGCAGACAAAAGTGACACTTCAAGTTAATGAAGCCCAGTCCCTCTTGAGCACTGCAGACACTTCCAGTGAGAAAACAGGGGCGAAGGTGAAAAGAGCAGGAACAAAAACATGACCTAAGCCCAGACGCACAAGTCCCAGTGTAAGAACATAAGGACTGTGTAAAAGAAATACAACCTGACTCCATCGAAAATTACCAATTCCAGTGTAAGAACATAAGGACTGTGTAAAAGAAATACAAGCTGACTCCATCGAAAATTACCAATTCCACAGGCTGGCCTACATAGAAAATGAATTAGGCCAGGCAATGGTGGAGCACACCTTAAATCCCAGCACTCGGGAGGCAGAGCCAGGCGGATCTCTGTGAGTTCAAGGCCAGCCTGGTCTACAGAGCGAGATCCAGGACAGGCACCAAAACTACACAGAGAAAACCTGTCTCCAAACAAACAAGAAAGAAAGGAAGGAAGGAAGGAAGGAAGGAAGGAAGGAAGGTAGGGAAAGGAAAGGAATTAGATGAAATCCCAGGAAAAAAATTCAAAAGAATAATTTTTTTAAGTATATTCTAGGAAATCAAACAGAACACAAACTCATGAATTAATTAAGAGAGAACAGAAATAAATGAATGAAATAAGGAAGTCAATACAACATATAAAAGTGGGATTTAATAAAGAGAAATACTGAGGAGCCAGAGAGATAGCGCAATGGTTAAGAGAGAAGACCCCAGTTCAGTTCCCAACACCCAGACCAATTGCCCAAACCTTCCTGTACCTCCAGCTCCATGGGAATGTGGCCTCTGCAGATACCTGCACTCATGTGTACATAAATGTGCACACAACCATTCACACATGTGATTTTTTTAAAAAATACTGAAAAAATCAAAATTGAAATACGAGAAATGAAAATTTCAGAATGTCATCTAAGTTGAGAGACTCACCGGCAGAGAGGATTAACAGGAAGACAGAGTTTCAGAGCTTGAAGACAAGGTAGAGGAGTTGTAATTAAGGACAGATTAAGTCATATAGTAGACTATGAACAGAATATCCAAGATCTGTGGAATATAATTTAAAACCCAAATCTAGGTACAGGAAAAGGAGAAGAATTTCATGTTCAAGGCATAGAAAACATTTTCAATAAAATCATATCAGAAATTTCCCCAGTTCTAGGGGGAAAGGTACCCAGAAATGGGTTTTACTTAGAATGCCAATCAGATAGGCAAATGCAAGACAGGAGAACTTTCCCGTGCTGGATTATAGTCCAAATACTAAAAATATAGAACAAAAATTAAAATGTAAACAGAAAATGCTTTCAACAATATCAGCCATAAAAGGATAAATTTCTTCAAATCAATAAGGATAAATTAAATATCATCAATATAAAATAGGAAAATATAATAATAAAAGATATCCAAATAAATATTTGGAAACAATAATCAAAGAACTACAGATTAAAACCATAGGCATGATTTTCCTCTTGAAAGTTAACAAAGTTTAATTTGTTTTGCTTTGTGTTTTGAGGCCAAGCTAGCATCAAAACTTGAGACAATCCTCCTGCCTCAGTCTTCCAAGTGGTAAGGTTGAAGACATACTTCTAAATGATACCCGGAGAATATATAGCAAAAGCTATAAAAATACACATAAGAGGGTGGACAGGAAAGGGGAAAGTGATATAATTCTATTTTGATTAAGAATAATTAAAATTAAATATATACACACACATACATATAAGTTTTGACCTGAAGATTCTTCTTGGAAACAACTATATATTCCAAGACTTAAGTACAAAAATAATTGCAACTTTTAAATGTCAAAGGGTAATAAAACCATAAATGGTCCCAAAAAAGAAGTGATTGTCCAAGTTTAGGACAAAATCTATACAATGGAATACTGTGTTGGTTGGGACAGGCAAGATCCCATTGTACTCAAGTGAAAAACTACTCAAAAGTTGCAGAAATAATAGTTCTATCATGTGGGCAGAAATATAATATGCCCAGAAAATAATCTGTCAACTCCTTCCTTCCTTCCCTTCCTTCCTTCCCTCCCTTCCTTCAACAGAGCAATCCCTATGTTGCCCAGGCTAGCCTCCAACATCTGAGCTCAAGTAATCCTCCTGCCTCAACCTCCCAAATAGCTGAGAACACAGGCACATACCACTCTACCAGAATCGCCTTCAGTTCAGGAGTTCAAGACCAGTGTAAGCTACACAGGAATACCCCAGTTCAAAAACTTAAAAAAGGCTTGAGTTTTAGCTCAATATGAAGCCCTAGGGTTTGATCCCAAATTACAAACATTCAAAAGAATGAAGAGAAGAAGTGGGGGAGAAATGGAGGAGAAGGGAGAAGAGAGGGGATGGGGGAGGAAAAGGAAGAGTAAGAGAGACATTTGTAAAAATGGTTAAATTGGGGCTAGAGAGATGGTTCTTGCAGAGAACCAAGTTCAGTTCCCAGCACCCATATTGTGGCTCACAACCATCCATAACTCTAGTTCCAAAGATTCAATGACTTCTTCTGACCTCTGTGGGCACCAGACACACATGAGGTACACATACATAAATGTAGGCAAAACACTCACATACCTAAAATAAATAAATCTAAATTAATTAATTAATTAAGATTGTTAACTCTAAAGACTAGGACAAATGAGGCAAACAGACAGGTATATTGAATATCTTAATTTATTGCTTAGTTTTACTTTGAACTATATGACGACTATTTTTTGCATGAAAAAACGTAATTTAAAAAAATGTAGAACAGATCTTAAGAATAGGAAGGATGAGTTATCCCAATAAAATGAATACCAAAGGAAAGTCTTCCTTTGATGCTTTGGGTGTGTAAACAAATTAGAAGTCTATTACCTCAGAGACACGGAGGTTCTGTCGCTACTTGTTTATAGGAAGCTAAAGGAGTGATTGCAAAACTAACCTGCCACCTGAATGAACAAGACATGCCACAGCTTGCCATGGGCATTGTGCACTGAAGCCATGTGTGGAATTGCTGATGAAGTGGCAGAGGAATTACCCTCTGCAGCATCCATTCCACAGGGAGCTGAAAGCATCCAGCAGTCTCCTCCAGTGGGTCATCCTTTAACATTTACACAGCCTTTCTAATACCTTAACTGAACCAGCTTGGAGAACATGTTGAAACAAGAATAAACTGAACTGATGTTCAGAGAGCTCCAACACTATCCAATGTCAGAATGCTCGGGCACCACAGAGAGTTGGTTCTTTGTCCACTGTTTCTCTGTGACCTCACTTCTGACCACTCTACCTCTTGGAGTCTACAGTGGGGTTCAGAGTGGGAAGGAATACAATAGGTATCTAGGGTAAGTCCCTCCCATTTTCTCTCAGGGGCATCTAAATCAGGAAACCCTTGTAACCACCTAAGAGTAAATTCAGAATCTGAAAACAGAGACCTGCACTGAGGATTAAAATAAGAGTCAGCACTGATGGTAAACTTAGACCATGGTCAACCGTGGTCAGTTAGACTTCCCTGAAGAGGCAGATGTTCTCATGAGTGAAAAGTAGTTTCCTTACCTGGAATCAAAGAGGGTGCCATCCAGAAGTGTGCCGTTGTAATGATACCTGAGGAAGTCCCCACTCTGACTTCTTCGATCACAGTTCTCAGGGACCACCTTGTTCTCAACGGAAATACTATCCTTGGGGTTATGGAGGTCCAACAATGCAACATCAAAGACTAGGGACGCCTGCCCAGGGATGTCTTTCCCTAGAGTAAAATGAAAGAACCCTTCATTCCAGACACAAAATTTGGGGAGTGCTTAGACCACCACTCATGCCCTTTGTGTTGGTATTCCTCATTCCTTGAAGTTTTCAAGCCAAGGAAACAAATGCTCCGTTCTCTGTGTTGTGTAACAAGTGTCTAACCTTGGTGTCCAATCATGGGCTAGTGGGCACAGCACAACACCTGACTGACTCGGGGAGAACAAGCTAACATAGCCGCATACTACCGCCATGATCATACTTCAGATGCTCAGATGGCAATGAGACGCTCTCTGTGGGCAGTGTGCATCCACATGGAAATCCAAATCCATACCTCCTGTGGGTTCTGTCTGCACAAATGCCTTGTAAGCATTCAAACGTGCAAATTCCAAACCTGTGACTTTGCCCTGGAAAACACTACACAGTCTTGTTCTTTAAAACCAAGAGCCACTTCTTTTTTTTTTTAAATGTAAAGTTCTTTATCCAAAACAAAATATAAATAGACAGAAGTTAGATAACAAAGAAAAGAAGGATACGCATAATCCAAAAATAGTTTTTACATCTTTTCTACATCTCATTTCTGCACGGTGCTATTTCTCATAGATGGATCTAAGAGAGGATGCACTGGACATAGTCTAGCCTTTGTATTCATGGGTTCTACATCCATGGATTCAACCAACCTCAGAACAAAAACATGGAAGACAAAAAGTGATGCCTGTAAAACCAGACATGGTGGCATACAAGTGTAATCCCAGCACTGGGGAGGTGGAAGGTGATGAGAATTCAGGGTTATCCTCAACTACATAATGAACTCAAGGCCAGCCTGCACTAAATTAGACCTTGCTCAAAAAAAAAAATAAAATAAAAAAAACCATATGCTTCTATTCTTTTTTCATTATTCTCTAAACTATACAGAATGACAATTATTTACGTATGTTGTATAGCAGTTTCCCCGGAAATTGAAACATTCCCTCCAGAAGTGGGAAGACTCAGGAGGTAAACAAACCACATATTTTATGCTTTTGGATAAAGAGGATATAGGGAGTTTCTTTAGCATCTTCCAGACACAACAGACTGATGCACATCTGAACTCACAAACCATGACAGCATGCACAGGACCCACACAGGTTCAAACCAGACAAAATCCCAGCCCTGATTAGGGGAAGCTAACATCAAGTCTACCCTAACCAAGAAGCTATCTGCAATTGATACCCACTGAGAAAGGGAAAACCAGTTTTCTCAAATGAAGTGTCAGTGGGATGATCAACCATATTTAAAGGCAGGCCCAACACAAAATGGACTACATGTTTTCATCCACTGTTTGTTTTGTTTGGGTATTTTTTGTCTTATTGGTTTTCTTTTCTTTTTTTTTTTAGTTTGTTTATTTATTTTTTTTCTTTTTTGAGAGAGTGCATGAAGTTGAGTGAGTAGGCAGGTGGGGAGGATTTGAGAGAAGTTGGGGAAGGGAAAGGTTATGATCAAAATATGTTGTATTAAAAAAATGTTTTTAAAAAGAAGTTTCTTTTCTTTTGTTTCATTTTCCTTGTGCTGTTAAAAATTAGGCCCAAGCCTGCACGTCCAAAGAAAGTGATCTACTACTGCTCCAGTCCCCAAAGGAAAGCATCAAAATCAACTGCAGAATTTAAATGTTCCTAGCACTAACATATACTCACTGAATATTTTCACAGCTTTCCTGAGATATAATTTACATACCACAAAATTCAAACATTTAAAGTATACTTGCATAGCTGAGCACAGGAAAGTATTGCATAAATATAAAGTAACTTTAAATTGTCATTTTAAATATTTAAGCACTAGTCATCTACTTTAAATGAATAAATACAATTCTCATATTAGGCTGGGGGTCTTGTTTTGCTATTTAGGTGATATCCAAAATATTTTGCCAGCACTTGGGAGACTGAGGCAGGAGGATCACAAATTCAAGGCCAGATTTGGCTACAAAGCAAAAGATTTAGGAGCTAAAATGAATGCACTCCCATTGGCCATGAATGAGACAACCCGAACATAAATGGGTTTGTAGTCAATGGGATAGCACATTTCTGCATGCACAAGTCTGACCACAAGCACCAACAAACAAAAATAGACATTGCAGTGGTTTGAATGAGAGGTGTCCCCCATAGTCTTGGGCATTTGAACACTTGCTCCCCCATTGGTAATACTGATTATGAGGTTTAGGCGGCAAAGCCTTACCAGAGAAGTCTGTGCCCGGGGACAGACACTGAGATTAAAAGCCTTGCACCTCCCAGTTGCCTCTGGTTTTGTACACAAATTTGAAGATTAGAGCTCTCACCTCACTCGAGCTACCATGCCTGTGGCTTGTTGCCATGCCTCCCAGCCATGATGGACTCATTCCCCAGATTTATAAGCCCAAATAAATCCTTCCTTCTATAAATTGTTTCTGGTCATGGTATTTTATCACAGTAACAGAAAAGTACCACCAGAAGAGCTGTTTGCAGATCTCAAGCATGCAAACAGAAAATGTAGAAAGGTTTAGCCCCACTCCCTCAGACTCTGTAGCTCTACAGACTAGAGACAGAAAACAGCTTGGAAAAGATTACATTGGTTATAGTAAGCTGAGTACCATTCAACTTCTTCAATAGCACCAGGTTTTCATTTGTATTCCTTGTGTGTGTGTGTGTGTGTGTGTGTGTGTGTGTGTGTGTGTGTTTAAATAGGGTCTTACCTACCAGCCTTCCTTGAACTCATGATCCTCCTCCAGCCTCTTAACTGCTATAACAGGAGTATGCCAGCATGCCCTGCTCTCATTTCTATTCCTTCTTCCATGTATGCCTACTACTTAAATGCCTAAAGGTCTCTGTTGTGTCCAACTATCAGAATGATCGAATGTGTGAAATTTAATATGAATAACCAATAAACCTTATATATCAGCCAACACTCTACTTCTCTTAATATAAAATAAATAATTATTTTATTTTACTTTGAGATGGGGTCCTCCAACTTACTAGGTAGCCAGGGATGACCTTGAACTCCTAATCCCCCTGCTCTTGCCTCCCAGGTACTGAAATTAGAAGCACGCACCCCCATGTGCTGGGGAATCAAACTGGGGGCTTCACAAATGCTAGGCAAAGCACTCTACCAACTCCACCATATCCACAGCCAATGTGACGCTTTGAGTTTGTCTGGACAGAACACACACATACTCATAAAGCAAATAAAGGTGGAAAGCTGGGAAATTTGCCAGCTCAGACATCAGTGGCTAAATCTTGACTTTGATGTTTACATCTTTTTAAACTGTCTAGATCAAATACTGCTTACAGATAAAAAGTAAGAGATGTTGGTGCCCCAGGCTGCAGCTGGCAAGGTGGGGAGAGACACGGTGCTTACATGAACACCAATGGCCATGAGCAAAGGCAAGTTCCACACAGAAGGTCATCCTGACTAGCACTCTCCAACAGAACCCTTGCAATGATGGGAATGAAAGGTAACTGTGTAGAAACTCAGGAGCCCTCGGCAATGTGTGGCTCTTGCATATCTGAAATGTAAGGATGTGACGAGAACTGAATTTTAATTTTAATTCATTTTCACTTAAATGTAAACAGCCACATGTGGTAGCTAGTGGCTACCACGGTGGTAGTGCCAGTCTAGAGCAAAGGGATGAAAGGAACTGAACTGTACAAATAAAAGTAAGAACAATGAAGCTAAAGAGATGGCTCAGAGATGGCCCAGTGTAAGAGCATCTACTGCTCTTGCAGAAGACCCAGGTTTGGTTCCCAGCACCCACATTAGGCACTTCACATCAGCTTGTCTCTCCAGCTCCAGGGGATCTGAAGCGCTCTTCTGGCCTCTGAGGGCAATGCACTCATGTGGTGCACATACAGACAAGCAGGAACACACATAACATATACTCATAAATAAAAATAAACATATAAAGATGAATGACAGAAGCTCTGAGAAAGAGGACTTACCATCTCCCTCTTCTCCATAGGCCAGAAAAGGAGGGATGGTGATGATACGTTTCTCCCCAACACACATGCCCAGCAGCCCTTTGTCCATTCCCGGAATCAGCCATCCAATTCCTACGTACGTGTCGTAGGTTTTCATGCGATTGTGGCTAAAAGAAAAAACAACAAAAACAAAAAACAGAGGGAGGAAGCACGTTCCATCATACCATTTCTAATTCATCCCGTGGGGTTTTTGCTTCTCAAGTCTCAGGTAAACAAAGAGCCCACACGCATCCCTAGTGACAGGCATTTCCCATTTCTGCTCCCTGATATTAGGAAGATGCGAAAAGCCCGTATTTATAGCAGCAGTCAACAGCTATCCCACTCATGAACATTCTGTCACCACAGAAAACCCCAGAGAGTCCCCGGTTTTTATCCTAGCCTCATACTGCTCTGGAGTTTCATTTTTCCCCTTCTCTTTTCATGGGCGAACTATATGAATGAGTCCAACACTCATGGGCTTACTGGGAAATGTGGCTCTTCACAAGTGCAGATCTTCAGATATGGTTTACATTAAATCAAGATCGTTTTTAATTTTTCCTAAGGTGTTAAATTTTGACTCTGGCACCACAGAGAATCAGACACTAACCAAAACTATATGGGATAGGATCTGGTACTAGGTATAGTTTGGTAGGGTACATTTTCTGGTTTCCAGATGGGCACAGAAAGAAGACATGACAGAAGGAACCAGAAAGAGCCAAACGGCATTTCACACACTGCCACCAACAGTGGGACTTACCTGGAATCAAACAGTGTCCCGTCCAAGAACGTTCCGTTGTAATGGTACCTCACAAAATCAGACACCTGGATAGTCCGAGGACAAGTAGGGGGCTTGAAATATGTCTGAATCTGAACCTGGTCTTCAGAATTCCAAATATCCATCAGGAGCACATCAAAATGAAGTACCGAGTTTGGAGGGATCACACCAGCTGGAAATTAAAGTGAATTCACACTGCAAGGCTGCCATCTCCTGGTGATACAGAGATCCCTAGAAAGCCGGAACAGCTATTGTCTCCATGTTGAATCACTCCCTTGGGTGTGTGTGTGGGGGGGGGGGGGGGGGGGGAGCAGGCTGCGGAGCTAATGAAAAGGTTACAAGATTTACTTGGTTTTTCCCAAACGTTGTAAAAGTGTGAACAGTGGCTACGGAGGAGAACTGTGCTCTGAAGAGCTGCCTCTCAGTAGTGCAGGAACTCAGAGATGCAGCTTTTATGTGGCATCACCCATGGTACAGTGGGCTTTTGACTGACCCTGGAGCTTCTGAGTCACTCACACCCCTTGAACCCCTCCGCCATGCTCTGTAAGTTACTCAAAAAAACTCACTGGTTCACCAGGCTGGATTTAGGTGGGAATCCTTGGTCTGCTATCAATGACCTAAGTGGGTTAAATAAACATTTCTTCACATCCCACAAGGAAAAAGTCAATTGAAGACTGCTATCAGTGTACCAGAAGTCAAAAGAATTCGAATCCATCACTGATGTACAATTCCAAAAGGCCCGCTCTTCCTACATCCTTCCTCCAAATAAAATTAAAGTAAGTGAGAGAGAGGAAAGAGTCTCCTCTCATCAAGAGTTCATTAGATATTCCTGGGCTGGCCCTTTCTTTCTTCTATGTCCAAGAGATAAATCTACAATGGAAATGCTAGCTGTGGGTGTTCAGCCTTTCTTTTTCCCCTATTAAAGACCCCAATTTCTCCATTCAGGTTGACTGCGGAGCCTGCATGCCAATGTGTCTATAAAAAGAGTGAAAACTTACAAACTCCTTCACTTCCATAGGCGAGGTTTGGGGGGATCGTCACGAAACGCCTCTCATTTACGCACATCCCGACCAGGGCTTGGTCCATCCCTGCAATCAGCTGGCCTTTTCCCACAAACACATTGAAGGTGGAGTCTCTGTCATAGCTGAAGATCCAGAAGGTAGGGAGAGAGAAACAAAAGCATCGTTATCCCCACAGAGAAAGCCGCTTCATGAAGGTCACAGCAAAGGATACGGCCTAGCAAAAAGTTACTGACCCAGCAAATGTTTTCACTGGACAGTATTTGCAGAGTTGAGGTTTTCATATTAACTTGAATATTGCCAACAAATTCACTTAGAAATGATTGCCACACAGGCCTGACAACCTGAGTTTGATCCCCCACCGACCCCACAGTGGAAGCAAAGAGCCAAGACCTGAAAGCTGTCCCTCTGATGCCCTAAGCACACCGAGGCACATGCAGAGGAGAGGGATGCACACTATTAAATGCTGACAGGTCAGACAATAAACAACAAATCATGGCACCCTTGTTTTTTCATGTTCAATTCAGCAACACCACATCTTCTAGGAGATGATGGATATGTGCTTTGAGAGAGAAATAATCAAAGTCCAAGACAAGGACTTTATCTATAAGGACTTTATAAACTGGCAGAGACCTATAGTTCCAAACATCGTATTTGGAAAAAAAAAAAAAAAAAAAAGACTTCACAGCCCATATGGAGCATCAGCTACAAGCAAGGCTGAGGGAAAAGGATCACAAGTTCAAGGCCAGCCAGGCAACCTTATGAGACAGCCTCAAAATTTAAAGGGAAGGAGGTCTGGGGATAGTGCTCAGTAGTGGAGTCGCCTAGCACTCCAAGGCCCTGGGTTTAATCCCCAGTACTGCAGAACAAAGAAAAGAGACAGGGTGGCTGCTGTGGGCTGTTCTGTATGACAAATGTGTTGCTCTGATTGGTTGGTAAATAAAACACTGATTGGCTGGTAGTCAGGCAGGAGGAAGTATAGGTGGGACAAGGAGGAGAATAAAGCTGGGAAGTGGAAGGCTGGGTCAGAGACACTGCTAGCCACTCCCATGACTAGCAGCATGTGAAGATGCCGGTAAGCCACGAGCCACGTGGCAAGGTATAGATTTATAGAAATGGATTAATTTAAGATATAAGAACAGTTAGCAAGAAGCCTGCCACGGCCATACAGTTTGTAAGCAATATAAGTCTCTGTGTTTACTTGGTCGGGTCTGAGCGGCTGTGGGACTGGCGGGTGAGAGAGATTTGTCCTGACTGTGGGCCAGGCAGGAAAACTCTGGCTACAGGTGGCCTTAGGGGAAATGACTGCAAAATAGAGAAAAATGAGCAACAGGAAACTTGCTGCAGACCTTGGGTTACAATAATAAACAGTGGGAACAACTCAAGGGTATGGCCCTGGCTGCATGTTACTCAGATGTACCATGAAATGTTCCATGGCCAGACTTCGGATTCCTACTCACTCACAAGAACGACAGTCACAGTTAAGTGAGGTGTAGGGACAATGGGGTGGTTCAGCTGGTAGAGGCACCAAGTCTGACGAAACCTGGGTCCCCAGGACTTCCATGGTAGAAGGAAGGAGAGACCCAACTGCTACAAGACATCCTCTAACCTCTGTGTGTGTGCTATGATAAACATGCATGCGTGCTCTGTAGGTAACAGTGTAAAATGATACCATTTTCCATTTACTCACATATAGGTAATATGGAAAGACCCACATTTTAGAATCTAAAAAGGAGAGAAAGACAATAAGTAATAGCATTCACTTCATGAGGCTGTACCAACCCTCCTTTCGAACCTCCTGCCTTTTCCTCATTTTCTCCTAATTAACAGTTTGAAGCGGCGGAGCCAGCTTCCTCTAGACTTGCCCCCTTCCCCATCTCCTCCTAGTCTTACACCACATTTTCACTGCCTTCCTTTCTTCAAGGTCAGGGAACAGAAAGCAGGATTTCAAGACCACACTAGAGCACAAAGGAGCATGCATATGCAGCTTCTACACACGGCAACCTTGTACCTCCACGCTGGCACAAACGCCACCTCCTGGAAGGCCAGCTCTTACTTTTGCTTGAGCATGGCCGTATCACTGAACCATCCTCAAGATTACGCTAACCAATCCGAAAGCAAAGCTTCCAAGACTCCCCAGGCACAGCATATGTGGGAGCAGCAAGAACGCAAAGGCAGGGAGTGGCGTTAGAAATGCATTCCTCGTCTGTAGGACGTCAACAGTTGCCAAGTTTAATGCAATTTTTTAAGTGCACACATTCTGGTCATTTTCTAAGAAGTTCACACATTTGGCACTGAATCCTATTTAAAAGTCCATTAAACTAAAATAAAATATTCAAACAATCATTTTGGTGATAGAAGAATATCGTGGGCACAGCTAACAGATCAAAAATCATTCCACATCTTTAAACACTGAGTACAAAGAATCTGCAAATTAAATTGAGAGTGGTTTGGGGCTGTGTTTTATTTTATTTACTAGTCTTTAGGTTTTCTTTAATTTAATTTATTTTATGTGTATGAGTGCTTTGCCTGCATGTGTGTCTGTGCACCACACGCATGCCTGGTGCCCACCTCAGATATCCTGGAAGTGGAGTTATGGACAGTTGTAAGCCACCACATGGGCACTGGGACTCAAACCTGGGTCCTCCCGAAGAGCAGCCAATGCTCTGAACACAGAGCCATCTCTCTGGCCCTATTTTATTTTAAAGAGCTTCACACATGAACCCTGCATCTACTTCTCTCCCACCTCTCCCTTCCCCCTCCCCACCTCCCGTGTCCCGCCAAATTTATTCTCCCTTATTTAACTATTATTGTTCCGTGTATAGACATATTGAAGGAGAGCCAGGAGAATGGAAGCTGATGAGAAAAACCAGGTATGGGACCCTTTCAGAGGGCCTGCTTCTTGCTCCAAGGGGTTTGAGGGCCAGGGAAGGAAAAGTCCACTCAAGTGAGGATCCTACTCAGACCACTCAGCGAGGAAAGAGGGTGTAGGAGGGAGAATGCCAGAGTCCCTGAGTGGTCTCTCGCCTCCTGGGCCCCTTCAACCCCCGTGATGGGAGTGGTTTGTTCTAACAGAGTTTGTTCTTTTGTTCTTTCTGTCTCTCTGCGTAGCTCACAATTCTTCCTCTGCATCTGCAGCACTGAGATCCCCACCTAACACTTTTACTATCTGGGCTCCAGCCAAGTTCTCCACTTTGGCGGCCCTCTGACTCCCAAGTGTTACTTTCTTGGCATGTGCCAAGTGGTTCCTCCTTTTCATGATTCAGTCTTCTACCTTTCCCAGAAGTCCAATGCTCTGGCTATCCCAGGGAGTAAACTGTGGATTCCCTAGATGACCGTGGCTCACCCCAACACTCCTGTGTGTGTGTGTGTGTGTGTGTGTGTGTGTGTGTGTGTGTGTGTGTGTACCTACATATAATATATATACATATATATGCATGTTTATATATCTAGCATTTCTTATATGAACATAAGCTATGCAATCGCAAGGCTGATCACTTGGGATTGGACACTCATGCAGGAGCTCACCCATGGAAGAAACTGATGCTCTTAGCAGGCAGTGACCACGTGTAGCTCTTCATCTAGGAGTGAGGCCACGTGGAATTTCCCCCAGCAACACTGGCATGTCAGCTGGTATTGTCATTACGCTAGATTTGTTCAGGCAACCATATTGTTGCCATTTCATGGATGTGTTTTCCTGTCATACCTAAGGGACATTACTTAATAACAGGCATCTTGGGCTTCTGGCTCTCACAATCCTTCTTCATGCTTTGCCCTGAGCTTTAGGTGTAGGGGCTACATCACAGATGTATCAGTTCGGGTTGGGCACCCCATAGTCACTTATACTCTGCACTTTTGGCCAGTCGTGGGTCTCTATAATAGTCTCCATCTGCTGTAAAAAGAAGCTTCTTTGATGAGGCATGAGGGCTACAGTTATCTGTGGGTGTAAAGATAATCATTTAGAATGCATCTAGAAATTATATTGGTTTAGGAAAATGATGGTCGTAGGTTCTTCTCTCAGGTCTATGACCTTTCCAGCCATGGTAGTTGACTAGGTTTACAGTACCAGGCATGCTTCCCTCCTGTTGAGCAGGACTTAAGTCAAATCAGACAACCCTTCACAGCACTCCTCTCCTACTATGCCCATTTCTTGACTCCTTTTCCTCCGTCTCCATCCCACCATAGTTGCTTTCTTATGGCTTCTTCAGATCCTTCAGATTACATACTCGAATCCGAAGATTCAGAGCTAGTGTCCACAAAGAAGAGGGAGCACAAGGTGCTTCTCTTTCCACGTCTGGTTGACCTCACTCAATATAACTTAATGCACATTTTCAATAGTAACTACTATTTACAGAACATTTCTTATATGTTAGGTCCAGTAGCAAAGTGAGCTTTTCACAAAGAGCTTGAATCCTCCTAATCCTTGAAATCCTCATAATCTTTACACAACGCAGGTAGGTACTCAGACATTCAGTCTCCCTGGTAGTTAAACAATTTTTTTCCAAGCTAAAAATTTAGCCAAGTGGGAAAAAACAAAAATGTAAGAATCCAGGACTGTCTAATCCAGGACTCAGCTCCTGGCTGGCACAGGCCTCTGGAGGCTCTTCAGACTCACAGTATTGTTAATTCCTTTGATGATTAGCCTCACAGTATTAATTCCTTCTTTTGATGGTCACACAACACTGTGAGCAATGATACAAAAATGTATTACACACACACCCAGACACATAAAGCTCTAACAATATGAAACCAATGCTATCTGTTGCTTAAAAGGCTGGCCATCTGGAAAAACTGAAGTTGTTCTAGATTTGTGCTGATCAGTGCAACTGGCACAAACTCACGCGAAGCATCAAGCCCAGAAATGGTCATGAAAATCATTTCAGCAGTGCTAGAATAAGCACTTACGCAGCCTGTCCCACTGTCCAGCTCATTCACACCTTTTATAGATGTTCCAGTTGGGGTCCTACAGGAAACAGATGGCTCACCCAGCCAGGCCATTCCAGGGAGGCCTCATGAAGGGGCTGTGCACAGCTGACATTATACTCAATGGGGGAAAGACCGGATGCTTTCTCCATGTGCTCATAAATAAAATAACGGTGCCTACTTTCCCAGTTCTAGTCAACCA